ACCACGCAAGCTCTTCAACCTGGCAAGCTCGTGGACCAGGCACGTTCGTGGATAAGGCACGCTCCTGGACGAGGCAAGCTCTTGGACCAGGCAGGCTCCTTGACCAGGCACGCTCTAGGACCAGGCAAGCTCCTGGACCACGCAAGCTCTTGGACCAGGCAAGCTCTTGGACCAGGCAAGCTCCTGGACCAGGCAAGCTCCTGGACCAGGCAAGCTCCTTGACTAGGCAAGCTCTTGGACAAGGAAAGCTCCCGGAACAGGAAAGCTCCTGGACCAGGCACGCTCCTGGACCAGGCAAGCTCCTAGACCAGGCAAGCTCATGGACTAGGCACGCTCCTGAACCAGGCAAGCTCTTGGACCAGGGAAGCTTGTGGACCAAGTAAGCTCCTGGACCAGGCGCAAACCTAGACCAGGCACGCTCTTGGACAAGGCAAGCTCTTGGACCAGGCAAGCTCCTGGACAAGGCAAGCTCCTGGACCAGGCACGCTCCTGGACCAGGCACGCTCCTGGACCAGGCAAGCTCTTGGACCAGGCAAGCTCCTGGACCAGGCAAGCTCCTGAACTAGGCACGCTCCTGGACCAGGCAAGCTCCTAGACAAGGCAAGCTCCTGGAACAGGCAAGCTCTTGGACTAGGCACACTCCTGGACCAGGCAAGCTCCTATACCACGCGAGCTCTTGGAGTAGGCACGCTCCTGAACTAGGCAAGCTCTTGGACCAGGCAAGCTTCTGGACCAAGCAAGCTCCTGGACCAGGCACAAACCTGGACCTGGTATGCTCCTCGACAAGGCAAGCTCATGGACCGGGCAAGCTCCTGGACCAAGCAAGCTCCTGGACCAGGGACGCTCGTGGACCAAGCACACTCCTGGACCAGGCAAGCTCTTGGACCAGGCAGGCTCGTGGACCAGGCAAGCTCCTGGACCAGGCAAGCTCCTTGACCAGGCAAGATGCTGGACCACGCAAGCTCCTGAACCAGGCACGCTCCTAGACCACGCAAGCTCCTAGACAAGGCAAGCTCCTGGACGAGGCAAGCTCCTGGACCAGGCAAACTCGTAGACCAGGCACGCTCCTAGACCAGGCAAGCTCTTGGACCAGGCAAGCTCATGGACCAGACACGCTCCAGGACCCAGCAAGCTCCTAGACCAGGCAAGCTCTTGGACCAGGCAAGCTCTTGGAGCAAGCAAGCTCCTGGACCAGGCTAGCTCCTGGACCAGGCAAGCTCCAAGACAAGGCACGCTCCTGGACCAGGCAAGCTCCTAGACCAGACAAGCTCTTGGACTAGGCACGCTCCTGAACTAGGTAAGCTCTTGGACCAGGCAAGCTTCTGGACCAAGCAAGCTCCTAGACTAGGCACAAACCTGGACCGGCCAAGCTCCTGGACCAAGCAAGCTCCTGGACCAGGCACGCTCGTGGACCAGGCATGCTCCAGGACTAGGCAAGCTCTTGGACCAGGCAGGCTCGTGGACCAGGAACGCTCCTGGACCAGGCAAGCTCCTGGACCAGGCAAGCTCCTTGACCAGGCAAGCTCCTGGACGAGGCACGCTCGTGGACCACGCACGCTCGTGGACCAGGCAAGCTCTTGGACCAGCGAGCTTCTGGACCAAGCAAGCCCCTGGACCAGGCAAGCTCCTGGAGCAAGCAAGCTCCTGGTCTAGGCAAGCTCCAGGACTAGGCAAGCTCCTTGACCAGGCAAGTTCCAGGACCAGGCAAGCTCCTGGACCACGCAAGCTCTTGGACCAGACAAGCTCTTGGACCACGAAGGCTTTTGGACCAAGCAATCTCCTGGACTAGGCAAGCTCCTGGACAAGGCAAGCTCCTGGACCAGGCAAGCTCCTAGACCAGGCAAGCTCCTGGACCAGGCATGCTCGTGGACCAGGCACATTCCTGCACAAGGCAAGCTCTTGGACCAGGCAGGCTCGTGGACCAGGCACGCTCCTGGACCAGGCAAGCTCCTGTACAAGGCAAGCTCCTGGACCACGCAAGCTCATGGACCAGGCACGCTCCTGGACCAAGCAAGCTCTTGGACACGGAACGCTTTTGGACCAAGCAAGCTTCTAGACCAGGCAAGCTCCTGGACCAGGCAAGCTCTTGGACCAGGCAAGGTCCTGGACCTGCAAGCTCCAGGACCAGGCAAGCTCCTAGACCAGGCAAGCTCCTGGACCACGCACGCTCGTGGACCAGGCACGCTCCTGGACCCGACAAGCTCTTTGACCAGGAAGGCTCGTGGACCAGGCAAGCTACTGGACCAGGCAAGCTCGTGGACCAGGCAAGCTCCTGGACCAGGCCCGCTCGTGGACCAGGCACGCTCCTGGACCAGGCACGCTCCTGGACCAGGCAAGCTCGTGGACCAGGCACGCTCCTGGACCAGGCAAGGTCTTGTACCAGGCAAGCTTCTGGACCAAGCAAGCTCCTGGACAAGGCAAGTTCGTGGACCAGGCAAGCTCCTGAACCAGGCAAGCTTCTGGACCAGGCAAGCTCCCAGACCAATGCAAGCACCTGGACCACGCAAGCACTTGGACCAGGCACGCTCATGGACCAGACAAGCTCATGGACCAGGCAAGCTCATGGACCAGGCAAGCTCCTGGACGAGGCAAGCTCCTGGACGAGGCAAGCTCCTGGACCAAGCACGCTCGTGGACCACGCACGCCCTTGGACCAGGCAAGCTCTTGTACTAGGCAGGCTCGTAGACCATGCAAGCTCCTGGACCAGGCAAGCTCCTGGACCGGGCAAGCTCCTGGACGAGGCAAGCTATAGGACGAGGCAAGCTCTTGGACCAAACACGCTCGTGGACCACGCACGCTCTTGGACCAGGCAAGCTCGTGGACCATGCAAGCTCGTGGACCAAGCAAGCTCCTGGACCAGGCAAGCTCCTTGACCAGGCAAGCTCCTGGACCAGGCACGCCCCTGGACGAGGCAAGTATGAATTTGAAAGGTAACTAATGCACATTTGTAGAGAAAATGGTGCATCGGCCAGTCTGGCCGGCATTTCGCACTTATATTGCAAGTACGGCCAGGGAGAACGCAAACGCTCATTTCTCAAAAAGTAAAGGGAATCTAGCGGTCTCACTCGATCAGAAGGTGGGAAATATATAAATCTAGTGAGCTAATAAGGTTCGAAAGGTATCTAATGCACATTTATATGGAAAATAGTGCATTGGCCAGGTCGGTCAGTATGGGAACTTAAAATGCAAATGCCAGGGAGAACGGAAGCGCCCAGATCTCGCATAGTACATAGAATCTAGTGGTCTCACTCAAATAGAAGGTAGGAAATATATTCATCTAGTGAACGTAAGGGTTTAAAAGGTAACTAACGCACATGTGTAGAGAAAATGGTGCATCGGCCAGTCTGGCCGGCATTTCGCACTTATAGTGCAAGTACGGCCAGGGAGAACGCAAACGCTCATTTCAAAAAAAGTAAAGGGAATCTAGCGGTGTCACTCGATCAGAAGGTGGAAAATATATAAATCTAGTGAGCTAATAAGGTTCGAAAGGAATCTAATGCATATGTATATGGAAAATGGTGCATTGGTCAGGTCGGTCAGTATGGGAACTTAGAGTGCAAATGCCTGGGAGAACGGAGCCGCTCAGATCTCGCATAGTACACGGAATCTAGTGGTCTCACTCAAATATAAGGTAGGAAATATATTAATCGAGTGAACGTAAGGGTTTGAAAGGTAACTAACGCACATGTGTAGAGAAAATGGTGCATCGGCCAGTCTGGCCGGCATTTCGCACTTATAGTCCAAGTAGGGCCAGGGAGAACGGAAACGCTCATTTCTCAAAAAGTAAAGGGAATCTAGTGGTCTCACTCGATCAGAAGGTGGGAAATATAAAAATCTAGTGAGCTAATAAGGTTTAGAAGGTATCTAATGCACATTTATTTGGAAAATAGTGCATTGGCCAGGTCGGTAAGTATGGGAACTTAAAATGCAAATGCCTGGGAGAACGGAAGCGCTCAGATCTCGCATAGTACACGGAATCTAGTGGTCTCACTCAAATAGAAGGTAGGAAATATATTCATCTAGTGAACGTAAGGGTTTGAAAGGTAACTAACGCACATGTGTAGAGAAAATGGTGCATCGGACAGTCTGGCCGGCATTTCGCACTTATAGTGCAAGTAGGGCCAAGGAGAACGCAAACGCTCATTTCTCAAAAAGTAAAGGGAATCTAGCGGTCTCACTCGATCAGAAGGTGGGAAATATATAAATCTCGTCAGCTAATAAGGTTCGAAAGGAATCTAATGCATATGTATATGGAAAATGGTGCATTGGCCAGGATGGTCTGTACGGGAACTTAGAGTGCAAATGCCTGGGAGAACGGAGCCGCTCAGATCTCGCATAGTACACGGAATCTAGTGGTCTCACTCAAATATAAGGTAGGAAATATATTAATCGAGTGAACGTAGGTTTTTGAAAGGTAACTAACGCACTTGTGTAGAGAAAATGGTGCATCGGCCAGTCTGGCCGGCATTTCGCACTTATAGTACAAGTGGGGCCAAGGAGAACGGAAACGCTCATTTCTCAAAAAGTAAAGGGAATCTAGCGGTCTCACTCGATCAGAAGGTGGGAAATATATAAATCTAGTGAGCTAATAAGGCTCAAAAGGTAGCTAATGCACATTTATATGGAAAATAGTGCATTGGCCAGGTCGGTCAGTATGGGAACTTAGTATGCAAATGCCAGGGAGAACGGAAGCGCTCTGATCTCGCATAGTACACGGAATCTAGTGGTCTCACTCAAATAGAAGGTAGGAAATATATTCATCTAGTGAATTTAAGGGTTTGAAAGGTAACTAACGCACATGTGTAGAGAAACTGGTGCATCGGCCAGTCTGGCCGGCATTTCGCACTTATAGTGCAAGTAGGGCCAGGGAGAACGCAAACGCTCATTTCTAAAAAAAGTAAAGGGAATCTAGCGGTCTCACTCGATCAGAAGGTGGGAAATATATAAATCTAGTGAGCTAATAAGGTTCGAAAGGAATCTAATGCATATGTATATGGAAAATGGTGCATTGGTCAGGTCGGTCAGTATGGGAACTTAGAGTGCAAATGCCTGGGAGAACGGAACCGCTCAGATCTCGCATAGTACACGGAATCTAGTGGTCTCACTCAAATAGAAGGTAGGAAATATATTCATCTAGTGAACGTAAGGGTTTAAAAGGTAACTAACGCACATGTGTAGAGAAAATGGTGCATCGGCCAGTCTGGCCGGCATTTCGCACTTATAGTGCAAGTACGGCCAGGGAGAACGCAAACGGTCATTTCTCAAAAAGTAAAGGGTCGTGGACGTGGACGTGGACGTGGACGTGGTCGTGGTCGTGGACGTGGTCGTAGACGTGGACGTGGTCGTCCACAACGTGGATGTGGACGTGGACGTGAACATGGACGTAGTCGTGGACGTGGAGGTGGACATGGACGTGGACGTGGACGTTGACGTGGTCGTGGACGTGGTCGTGGTCATGGAGGACGTGGACGTGGACGTGGACGTGGACATGGACGTGGACGTGGTCGTGGACGTGGACGTGGACGTGGACTTGGACGTGGACGTGGACATGGACGTGGACGTGGTCGTGGACGTGGACGTGGACGTGGTCGTGGACGTGGACGTGGTCGTGGACGTTGTCGTGGACGTGGTCGTGGACGTGGACGTGGTCGTGGACGTGGATGTGGACGTGGACGTGGACGTGGACGTGGACGTGGTCGTGGACGTGGATGTGGACGTGGACGTGGACGTGGACGTGGACGTGGACGTGGTCGTGGACGTGGAGGACTTGGACGTGGACATGGACGTGGACGTGGACGTGGACGTGGACCTGGAGATGGTCGTGGACGTGGACGTGGTCGTGGACGTAGATGTGGACCTGGACGTGGACGTGGACGTGGACGTGGTCGTGGAGTGGACGTGGTCGTGGACCTGGACGTGGTCGTGGACGTGGACGTGGTCGTGGACGTGGACGTGGTCGTGGACGTGGATGTGGACGTGGATGTGGACTTGGACGTGGACGTGGACGTGGACGTGGTCGTGGACGTGGAGGACTTGGACGTGGACATGGACGTGGACGTGGACGTGGACCTGGAGGTGGTCGTGGACGTGGACGTGGTCGTGGACGTAGATGTGGACCTGGAGGTGGACGTGGACGTGGACCTGGACGTGGACGTCGACGTGGACCTGGACGTGGACGTGGACGTGGACCTGGACGTGGACGTGGATGTGGACGTGGTCGTGGAGTGGACGTGGTCGTGGACGTGGTCGTGGACGTGGACGTGGTCGTGGAGGACGTGGACGTGGACGTGGAGGACGTGGACATGGACGAGGACGTGGACGTGGACGTGGACGTCGAATAGGACGTGGACGTGGACGTGGACCTGGGCGTGGACGTGGACGTGGACGTGGACGTGGACCTGGACTTCAACGTGGACTTGGTCGTGGAGTGGACGTGGTCGTGGACGTGGACGTTGACGTGGTCGTGGACGTGGTCGTGGTCGTGGTCGTGGACGTGGTCGTGGTCTTGGACGTGGACGTGGTCGTGGACGTGGACGTGGACGTGGACGTCGTCGTGAACGTGGAGGACTTGGACGTGGACGTGGACGTGGTCGTGGACGTGGACGCGGACCTGGACGTGGACGTGGTCGTGGACGTGGTCGTGGTCGTGGACGTGGAGGACGTGGTCGTGGACGTGGACGTGGACGTGGACGTGGACGTGGTCGTGGTCGTGGACGTGGTCGTAGACGTGGACGTGGTCGTCCACGACGTGGACGTGGACGTGGACATGGACGTGGTCGTGGACGTGGAGGACTTGGACGTGGACGTGGATGTGGACGTGGACCTGGACGTGGACGTGGACGTGGTCGTGGACGTGGACGTGGTCGTGGAGGACGTGGACGTGGACGTGGACGTTGTCTTGGACGTGGACGTGGACGTGGACGTGGACGTGGACGTGGACGTGGACATGGACGTGGACGTGGACGTGGACGTGGACGTGGACGTGGACGTGGACGTTGTCTTGGACGTGGACGTGGACGTGGACGTGGACGTGGACGTGGACATGGACGTGGACATGGACGTGGACGTGGACGTGGAGGACTTGGACGTAGACATGGACGTGGACGTGGACGTGGACGTGGACCTGGAGGTGGTCGTGGACGTGGTCGTGGACGTGGACCTGGACGTGGACGTGGACGTGGACCTGGACGTGGACGTGGACGTGGACATGGACTTGGATGTGGACGTGGATGTGGACGTGGTTTTGGAGTGGACGTGGTCGTGGACGTGGACGTGGACATGGACGTGGTCGTGGACGTGGACGTGGACGTTGACGTGGTCGTGGACGTGGTCGTGGTCATGGTCGTGGACGAGGTCGTGGACGTGGACGTGGACGTGGACGTGTTCGTGGACGTGGACGTGGACGTGGACGTCGTCGTGGACGTGGTCGTGGACGTGGACGTGGACGTGGTCGTGGACGTGGTCGTGGACGTGCACGTGGACGTGGTCGTGGACGTGGACGTGGAGGACGTGGACGTGGAGGACGTGGACGTGGACGTGGAGGACGTGGACGTAGACGTGGACGTGGATGTAGACGTCGACGTGGACGTGGTCGTGGACATGGAGGACTTGGACGTGGACGTGGACGTGGAAGTGGAGGACGTGGATGTGGAGGAGGTGGACGTGGACGTGGAGGACCTGGACGTGGACGTGGACGTAGACGTGCACGTGGACGTGGTCGTGGACATGGAGGACTTGGACGTGGACGTGGACGTGGAAGTGGAGGACGTGGATGTTGAGGAGGTGGACGTGGACGTGGAGGACCTGGACGTGGACGTGGACGTAGACGTGCACGTGGACGTGGTCGTGGACATGGAGGACTTGGACGTGGACGTGGACGTGGACGTGGTCGTGGACGTGGACGTGGACATGGAGGACGTGGACGTGGACGTGGTCGTGGACGTGGACGTGGACGTGGTCGTGGACGTGGACGTGGACGTGGACTCGGACGTGGACGTGGACGTGGACGTGGACGTGGACGTGGATGTGGACGTGGACGTTGACGTGGTCGTGGACGTGGTCGTGGTCGTGGTCGTGGACGTGGTCGTGGTCTTGGACGTGGACGTGGTCGTGGACGTGGACGTGGACGTGGACGTCGTCGTGAACGTGGAGGACTTGGACGTTGACGTGGACGTGGTCGTGGACGTGGACGCGGACCTGGACGTGGACGTGGTCATGGACGTGGTCGTGGTCGTGGACGTGGAGGACGTGGTCGTGGACGTGGACGTGGTCGTGGTCGTGGACGTGGTCGTAGACGTGGACGTGGTCGTCCACAACGTGGACGTGGACGTGGACGTGGACATGGACGTGGTCGTGGACGTGGAGGACTTGGACGTGGACGTGGAGGTGGACGTGGACCTGGACGTGGATGTGGACGTGGACGTGGTCGTGGACGTGGACGTGGTCGTGGAGGACGTGGACGTGGACGTGGACGTGGACATGGACTTGGAAGTGGTCGTGGACGTGGACGTGGACGTGGTCGTGGACGTGGTCGTGGACGTGGTCGTGGACGTGGTCGTGGACGTGGACGTGGACGTGGACTTGGACGTGGACGTGGACGTGGACGTGGACGTGGACGAGGACGTGGACGTGGACCTGGAGGTGGACGTGGACGTGGACGTGGTCGTGGACGTAGATGTGGACGTGGTCGTGGACGTAGATATGGACCTGGACGTGGACGTGGACGTGGACCTGGACGTGGACATGGACGTGGACCTGGACTTGGACGTGGAGTGGACGTGGTCGTGGACGTGGACGTGGTCGTGGACATCGACGTGGACGTGGACGTGGACGTGGACGTGGTCGTGGACGTGGACGTCGACGTGGACGTTGACGTGGTCGTGGACGTGGTCGTGGTCATGGTCGTGGACGTGGTCGTGGACGTGGACGTGGACGTGGACGTGGACGTAGATGTGGACGTGGACGTAGACGTCGACGTGGACGTGGTCGTGGACATGGAGGACTTGGACGTGGACGTGGTCGTGGACGTGGACGTGGTCGTGGAGGACGTGGACGTGGACGTGGACGTTGTCTTGGACGTGGACGTGGACGTGGACGTGGACGTGGACGTGGACGTGGACGTGGACGTTGTCTTGGACGTGGACGTGGACGTGGACGTGGACGTGGACGTGGACATGGACGTGGACATGGACGTGGACGTGGACGTGGAGGACTTGGACGTAGACATGGACGTGGACGTGGACGTGGACGTGGACCTGGAGGTGGTCGTGGAAGTGGTCGTGGACGTGGACCTGGACGTGGACGTGGACGTGGACCTGGACGTGGACGTGGACATGGACTTGGATGTGGACGTGGATGTGGACGTGCTTTTGGAGTGGACGTGGTCGTGGACGTGGACGTGGACATGGACGTGGTCGTGGACGTTGACGTGGACGTGGACGTTGACGTGGTCGTGGACGTGGTCGTGGTCATGGTCGTGGACGAGGTCGTGGACGTGGACGTGGACGTGGACGTGTTCGTGGACGTGGACGTGGACGTGGACGTGGACGTCGTCGTGGACGTGGTCGTGGACGTGGACGTGGACGTGGTCGTGGACGTGGTCGTGGACGTGCACGTGGACGTGGTCGTGGACGTGGACGTGGAGGACATGGACGTGGAGGACGTGGACGTGGACGTGGAGGACGTGGACGTAGACGTGGACGTGGATGTAGACGTCGACGTGGACGTGGTCGTGGACATGGAGGACTTGGACGTGGACGTGGACGTGGAAGTGGAGGACGTGGATGTGGAGGAGGTGGACGTGGACGTGGAGGACCTGGACGTGGACGTGGACGTAGACGTGCACGTGGACGTGGTCGTGGACATGGAGGACTTGGACGTGGACGTGGACGTGGAAGTGGAGGACGTGGATGTGGAGGAGGTGGACGTGGACGTGGAGGACCTGGACGTGGACGTGGACGTAGACGTGCACGTGGACGTGGTCGTGGACATGGAGGACTTGGACGTGGACGTGGACGTGGACGTGGTCGTGGACGTGGACGTGGACATGGAGGACGTGGACGTGGACGTGGTCGTGGACGTGGACGTGGACGTGGTCGTGGACGTGGACGTGGACGTGGACGTGGACTCGGACGTGGACGTGGATGTGGACGTGGACGTGGACGTGGATGTGGATGTGGACCTTGACGTTGACGTGGTCGTGGAAGTGGTCGTGGTCGTGGTCGTGGACGTGGTCGTGGTCTTGGACGTGGACGTGGTCGTGGACGTGGACGTGGACGTCGTCGTGAACGTGGAGGACTTGGACGTTGACGTGGACGTGGTCGTGGACGTGGACGCGGACCTGGACGTGGACGTGGTCATGGACGTGGTCGTGGTCGTGGACGTGGAGGACGTGGTCGTGGACGTGGACGTGGTCGTGGTCGTGGACGTGGTCGTAGACGTGGACGTGGTCGTCCACAACGTGGACGTGGACGTGGACGTGGACATGGACGTGGTCGTGGACGTGGAGGACTTGGACGTGGACGTGGAGGTGGACGTGGACCTGGACGTGGATGTGGACGTGGTCGTGGACGTGGTCGTGGACATCGACGTGGACGTGGACGTGGACGTGGACGTGGTCGTGGACGTGGACGTCGACGTGGACGTTGACGTGGTCGTGGACGTGGTCGTGGTCATGGTCGTGGACGTGGTCGTGGACGTGGACGTGGACGTGGACGTGGACGTAGATGTGGACGTGGACGTAGACGTCGACGTGGACGTGGTCGTGGACATGGAGGACTTGGACGTGGACGTGGTCGTGGACGTGGACGTGGACGTGGACGTCGTCGTGGACGTCGTCGTGGACGTGGACGTGGTCGTGGTCGTGGACGTGGTCGTAGACGTGGACGTGGTCGTCCACAACGTGGATGTGGACGTGGACGTGAACATGGACGTAGTCGTGGACGTGGAGGTGGACATGGACGTGGACGTGGACGTTGACGTGGTCGTGGACGTGGTCGTGGTCATGGAGGACGTGGACGTGGACGTGGACATGGACGTGGACGTGGTCCTGGACGTGGACGTGGACGTGGACTTGGACGTGGACGTGGACATGGACGTGGACGTGGTCGTGGACGTGGACGTGGACGTGGTCGTGGACGTGGACGTGGTCGTGGACGTGGTCGTGGACGTGGTCGTGGACGTGGACGTGGTCGTGGACGTGGATGTGGACGTGGACGTGGACGTGGACGTGGACGTGGACGTGGTCGTGGACGTGGAGGACTTGGACGTGGACATGGACGTGGACGTGGACGTGGACGTGGACCTGGAGGTGGTCGTGGACGTGGACGTGGTCGTGGACGTAGATGTGGACCTGGACGTGGACGTGGACGTGGACGTGGTCGTGGAGTGGACGTGGTCGTGGACCTGGACGTGGTCGTGGACGTGGTCGTGGACGTGGTCGTGGACGTGGACGTGGTCGTGGACGTGGATGTCGACGTGGATGTGGACTTGGACGTGGACGTGGACGTGGACGTGGACGTGGACGTGGTCGTGGACGTGGAGGACTTGGACGTAGACATGGACGTGGACGTGGACGTGGACGTGGACCTGGAGGTGGTCGTGGACGTGGACGTGGTCGTGGACGTAGATGTGGACCTGGAGGTGGACGTGGACGTGGACCTGGACGTGGACGTCGACGTGGACCTGGACGTGGACGTGGACGTGGACCTGGACGTGGACGTGGATGTGGACGTGGTCGTGGAGTGGACGTGGTCGTGGACGTGGTCGTGGACGTGGACGTGGTCGTGGAGGACGTGGACGTGGACGTGGAGGACGTGGACATGGACGAGGACGTGGACGTGGACATGGACGTCGAATAGGACGTGGACGTGGACGTGGACCTGGGTGTGGACGTGGACGTGGACGTGGACGTGGACCTGGACTTGGACGTGGACTTGGTCGTGGAGTGGACGTGGTCGTGGACGTGGACGTTGACGTGGTCGTGGACGTGGTCGTGATCGTGGTCGTGGACGTGGTCGTGGTCTTGGACGTGGACGTGGTCGTGGACGTGGACGTGGACGTGGACGTCGTCGTGAACGTGGAGGACTTGGACGTGGACGTGGACGTGGTCGTGGACGTGGACGCGGACCTGGACGTGGACGTGGTCGTGGACGTGGTCGTGGTCGTGGACGTGGAGGACGTGGTCGTGGACGTGGACGTGGACGTGGACGTGGTCGTGGTCGTGGACGTGGTCGTAGACGTGGACGTGGTCGTGGACATGGACGTGGACGTGGACGTGGACGTGGAGGACTTGGACGTGGACGTGGATGTGGACGTGGACCTGGACTTGGACGTGGACGTGGACGTGGTCGTGGATGTGGACGTGGTCGTGGAGGACGTGGACGTGGACGTGGACGTTGTCTTGGACGTGGACGTGGACGTGGACGTGGACGTGGTCGTGGACGTGGAGGACTTGGACGTAGACATGGACGTGGACGTGGACGTGGACCTGGAGGTGGTCGTGGACGTGGACGTGGTCGTGGACGTGGACCTGGACGTGGACGTGGACGTGGACCTGGACGTGGACGTGGACGTGGACATGGACTTGGATGTGGACGTGGATGTGGACGTGGTTTTGGAGTGGACGTGGTCGTGGACGTGGACGTTGACATGGACGTGGTCGTGGACGTGGACGTGGACGTTGACGTGGTCGTGGACGTGGTCGTGGTCATGGTCGTGGACAAGGTCGTGGACGTGGACGTGGACGTGGACGTGTTCGTGGACGTGGACGTGGACGTGGACGTCGTCGTGGACGTGGTCGTGGACGTGGACGTGGTCGTGACGTGGTCGTGGACGTGCACGTGGACGTGGTCGTGGACGTGGACGTGGAGGACGTGGACGAGGAGGACGTGGACGTGGACGTGGAGGACGTGGACGTAGACGTGGACGTGGATGTAGACGTCGACGTGGACGTGGTCGTGGACATGGAGGACTTGGACGTGGACGTGGACGTGGAAGTGGAGGACGTGGATGTGGATGAGGTGGACGTGGACGTGGAGGACCTGGACGTGGACGTGGACGTAGACGTGCACGTGGACGTGGTCGTGGACATGGAGGACTTGGACGTGGACGTGGACGTGGACGTGGTCGTGGACGTGGACGTGGACATGGAGGACGTGGACGTGGACGTGGTCGTGGACGTGGACGTGGACGTGGTCGTGGACGTGGACGTGGACGTGGACGTGGACTCGGACGTGGACGTGGACGTGGACGTGGACGTGGATGTGGACGTGGACGTTGACGTGGTTGTGGACGTGGTCGTGGTCGTGGTCGTGGACGTGGTCGTGGTCTTGGACGTGGACGTGGTCGTGGACGTGGACGTGGACGTGGACGTCGTCGTGAACGTGGAGGACTTGGACGTTGACGAGGACGTGGTCGTGGACGTGGACGCGGACCTGGACGTGGACGTGGTCATGGACGGGTCGTGGTCGTGGACGTGGAGGACGTGGTCGTGGACGTGGACGTGGTCGTGGTCATGGACGTGGTTGTAGACGTGGACGTGGTCGTCCACAACGTGGACGTGGACGTGGACGTGGACATGGACGTGGTCGTGGACGTGGAGGACTTGGACGTGGACGTGGAGGTGGACGTGGACCTGGACGTGGATGTGGACGTGGACGTGGTCGTGGACGTGGACGTGGTCGTGGAGGACGTGGACGTGGACGTGGACGTGGACATGGACTTGGACGTGGTCGTGGACGTGGACGTGGACGTGGTCGTGGACGTGGTCGTGGACGTGGTCGTGGACGTGGTCATGGACGTGGACGTGGACGTGGACGTGGACGTGGTGGAGGCAAGGACGTGGACGTGGACATGGTCGTGGACGTGGACGTGGAGGACGTGGACGTGGAGGACGTGGACGTGGACGTGGAGGACGTGGACGTGGACGTGGACGTGGTCGTGGAGGACGTGGACGTGGACGTGGTCGTGGACGTGGACGTGGTCGTGGAGGACGTGGACGTGGACGTGGAGGACTTGGACGTGGACGTGGAGGACGTGGACATGGACGTGGACGTGGACTTGGACGTGGACGTGGACTTGGACGTGGACGTGGACGTGGACCTGGACGTGGACGTGGACGTGGACCTGGACCTGGACCTGGACTTAGACGTGGACATGGACGTGGTCGTGGAGTGGACGTGGTCGTGGACGTCGACGTGGACGTGGACGTGGTCGTGGATGTGGACGTGGACGTGGATGTGGACGTGGACGTTGACGTGGTCGTGGTCGTGGTCGTGGTCGTGGTTGTGGACGTGGTCGTGGTCTTGGACGTGGACGTGGTCGTGGACGTGGACGTGGACGTCGTCGTGAACGTGGAGGACTTGGACGTTGACGTGGACGTGGTCGTGGACGTGAACGCGGACCTGGACGTGGACGTGGTCATGGACGTGGTCGTGGACGTGGAGGACGTGGTCGTGGACGTGGACGTGGACGTGGTCGTGGACGTGGTCGTAGACGTGGACGTGGTCTTCCACAACGTGGACGTGGACGTGGACATGGACATGGACGTGGTCGTGGACGTGGACGACTTGGACGTGGACGTGGAGGTGGACGTGGACCTGGACGTGGATGTGGACGTGGACGTGGTCGTGGACGTGGACGTGGTCGTGGAGGACGTGGACGTGGACGTGGACGTGGACATGGACGTGGACGTGGTCGTGGACGTGGACGTGGACGTGGTCGTGGACGTGGACGTGGACGTGGTCGTGGACGTCGACGTGGACGTGGTCGTGGACGTGGACGTGGATGTGGACGTGGACTTGGACGTGGACGTGGACGTGGACGTGGTCGTGGACGTGGAGGACTTGGACGTGGACATGGACGTGGACGTGGACGTGGACCTGGAGGTGGTCGTGGACGTGGTCGTGGACGTAGATGTGGACCTGGACGTGGACGTGGACATGGACCTGGACGTGGACGTGGACGTGGACCTGGACTTGGACGTGGATGTGGACGTGGTCGTGGAGTGGACGTGGTCGTGGACGTCGACGTGGACGTGGACGTGGACGTGGTCGTGGACGTCGACGTGGACGTGGACGTGGACGTGGTCGTGGACGTGGACGTGGACGTGGTTGTGACGTGGTCGTGGACGTGGTCGTGGTCCTGGTCGTGGACGTGGTCGTGGACGTGGACGTGGACGTGGACATGGTCGTGGACGTGGACGTGGACGTGGACGTGGTCGTGGACGTGGACGTGGTCGTGGACGTGGACGTGGACGTGGACGTGGTTGTGGACGTGGACGTGGTTGTGGACGTGGACGTGGACGTGGAGGACGTGGACGTGGAGGACGTGGACGTGGACGTGGACGTGGAGGACGTGGACGTGGAGGACGTGGACGTGGACGTGGAGGACGTGGACGTGGACGTGGACGTAGACATCGACGTGGACGTGGTCGTGGACATGGAGGACTTGGACGTGGACGTCGACGTGGACGTGGACGTGGAGGATGTGGACGTGGAGGACATGGATGTGGACGTGGAGGACGTGGACATGGACGTGGACGTGGACGTAGACGTGGACGTGGTCGTGGACATGGAGGACTTGGACGTGGACGTGGACGTGGACGTGGATGTGCTCGTGGTCGTGGACGTGGACGTGGACGTGGAAGACGTGGACGTGGACGTGGTCGTGGACGTGAACGTGGTCGTGGACGTGGACGTGGACTTGGACGTGGACGTGGACGTGGACGTGGACGTGGACGTGGACGTGGACGTGGACGTGGACGTGGAGGACGTGGACGTGGACATGGACGTGGACATGGACGTGGACGTGGACCTGGAGGTGGACGTGGACATGGACCTGGACATGGACGTGGACGTGGACCTGGACGTGGACGTGGACGTGGACCTGGACGTGGACGTGGATGTGGACGTGGTCGTGGAGTGGACGTGGTCGTGGACGTGGTCGTGGATGTGGACATGGTCGTGGAGGACGTGGACGTGGACGTGGAGGACGTGGACATTGACGAGGACGTGGCGTAGACGTCGAATAGGACGTGGACGTGGACATGGACCAGGGCGTGGACGTGGACGTGGACGTGGACCTGGACTTGGACGTGGACGTGGTCGTGGAGTGGACGTGGTCGTGGACGTGGACGTTGACGTGGTCGTGGTCATGGACGTGGACGTGGTCGTGGACGTGGACGTGGACGTGGACGTCGTCGTGAACGTGGAGGACTTGGACGTGGACGTGGACGTGGTCGTGGACGTGGACGCGGACCTGGACGTGGACGTGGTCGTGGACGTGGTCGTGGTCGTGGACATGGAGGACGTGGTCGTGGACGTGGACGTGGACGTGGTCGTGGACGTGGTCGTAGACGTGGACCTGGTCGTCCACGACGTGGACGTGGACGTGGACGTGGACGTGGACATGGACGTGGTCGTGGACGTGGAGGACTTGGACGTGGACGTGGATGTGGACGTGGACCTGGACCTGGACGTGGACGTGGACGTGGTCGTGGACGTGGACGTGGTCGTGGAGGACGTGGACGTGGACGTGGACTTGGACGTGGACGTGGACGTGGACGTGGTCGTGGACGTGGACGTGGACGTGGTCGTGGACGTGGACGTGGACGTGGACTTGGACGTGGACGTGGACGTGGACGTGGACGTGGTCGTGGACGTGGAGGACTTGGACGTGGACATGGACGTGGACGTGGACGTGGACGTGGACCTGGAGGTGGTGGACGTGGACGTAGACGTGCACGTGGACGTGGTCGTGGACATGGAGGACTTGGACGTGGACGTGGACGTGGACGTGGTCGTGGACGTGGACGTGGACATGGAGGACGTGGACGTGGACGTGGACGTGGTCGTGGACGTGGACGTGGACATGGAGGACTTTGACGTGGACGTGGACCTGGACGTGGACTTGGACGTGGACGTGGACGTGGACTTGGTCATGGACGTGGACGTGGTCGTGGACGTGGACGTGGACGTGGACTTGGACGTGGACGTGGACGTGGACGTGGACGTGGACGTGGATGTGGACGTGGACGTTGACGTGGTCGTGGACGTGGTCGTGGTCCTGGTCGTGGACGTGGTCGTGGTCTTGGACGTGGACGTGGTCGTGGACGTGGACGTGGACGTGGACGTCGTCGTGAACGTGGAGGACTTGGACATTGACGTGGACGTGGTCGTGGACGTGGACGCGGACCTTGACGTGGACGTGGTCATGGACGTGGTCGTGGTCGTGGACGTGGAGGACGTGGTCGTGGACGTGGACGTGGACGTGGTCGTGGTCGTGGACGTGGTCGTAGACGTGGACGTGGTCGTCCACAACGTGGACGTGGACGTGGACGTGGACATGGACGTGGTCGTGGACGTGGAGGACTTGGACGTGGACGTGGAGGTGGACGTGGACCTGGACGTGGATGTGGACGTGGACGTGGTCGTGGACGTGGACGTGGTCGCGGAGGACGTGGACGTGGACATGGACGTGGACATGGACGTGGACGTGGTCGTGGACGTGGACGTGGACGTGGTCGTGGACGTGGTCGTGGACGTGGACGTGGACGTGGACGTGGACTTGGACGTGGATGTGGACGTGGACGTCGACGTGGTCGTGGACGTGGAGGACTTGGACGTGGACATGGACGTGGACGTGGAGGTGGACGTGGACCTGGAGGTGGTCGTGGACGTGGACGTGGTCGTGGACGTAGATGTGGACCTGGACGTGGACGTGGACGTGGACCTGGACGTGGACGTGGACGTGGACCTGGACTTGGACGTGGACGTGGATGTGGACGTGGTCGTGGTCATGGTCGTGGACGTGGTCGTGGACGTGGACGTGGTCGTGGACGTGGACGTGGACGTGGACGTCGTCGTGGACGTGGACGTGGTCGTGGACGTGGACGTGGACGTGGTTGTGGACGTGGACGTGGTTGTGGACGTGGACGTGGACGCGGACGTGGAGGACGTGGACGTGGAGGACGTAGACGTGGACGTGGAGGACGTAGACGTCGACGTGGACGTGGTCGTGGACATGGAGGACTTGGACGTGGACGTGGACGTGGACGTGGATGTGGAGGATGTGGACGTGGAGGACGTGGACGTGGACGTGGAGGACGTGGACGTGGACGTGGACGTGGACGTAGACGTGGACGTGCTCGTGGACATGGAGGACTTGGACGTGGACGTGGACGTGGATGTGTTCGTGGTCGTGGACGTGGACGTGGACGTGGACGTGGTCGTGGACGTGGTCGTGGACGTGGACGTGGACGTGGTCGTGGATGTGGACGTGGACTTGGACGTGGACGTGGACGTGGACGTGGACGTGGAGGACGTGGACGTGGACCTGGAGGTGGACGTGGACGTGGACCTGGAGGTGGACGTCGACGTGGACCTGGACGTGGACGTGGACGTGGACCTGGACGTGGACGTGGACGTGGATGTGGACGTGGTCGTGGAGTGGACGTGGTCGTGGACGTGGTCGTGGACGTGGACGTGGTCGTGGAGGACGTGGACGTGGACGTGGAGGACGTGGACATGGACGAGGACATGGACGTGGACGTGGACGTCGAATAGGACGTGGACGTGGACGTGGACCTGGGCGTGGACGTGGACGTGGACGTGGACGTGGTCGTAGAGTGGACGTGGTCGTGGACGTGGACGTTGACGTGGTCGTGGTCGTGGACGTGGACGTGGTCGTGGTCTTGGACGTGGACGTGGTCGTGGACGTGGACGTGGACGTGGACGTGGACGTCGTCGTGAACGTGGAGGACTTGGACGTGGACGTGGACGTGGTCGTGGACGTGGACGCGGACCTGGACGTGGACGTGGTCATGGACGTGGTCGTGGTCGTGGACGTGGAGGACGTGGTCGTGGACGTGGACGTGGACGTGGACGTGGACGTGGACGTGGTCGTGGTCGTGGACGTGGTCGTAGACGTGGACGTGGTCGTCCACGACGTGGACGTGGACGTGGACGTGGACATGGACGTGGTCGTGGACGTGGAGGACTTGGACGTGGACGTGGATGTGGACGTGGACCTGGACGTGGACGTGGACGTGGTCGTGGACGTGGACGTGGTCGTGGAGGATGTGGACGTGGACGTGGACGTGGTCTTGGACGTGGACGTGGACGTGGACGTGGTCGTGGACGTGGATGTGGACGTGGACGTGGACTTGGACGTGGACGTGGACGTGGTCGTGGACGTGGAGGACTTGGACGTGGACATGGACGTGGACGTGGACGTGGACGTGGACTTGGAGGTGGTCGTGGACGTGGACGTGGTCGTGGACGTGGACCTGGACGTGGACGTGGACGTGGACCTGGACGTGGACGTGGACGTAGACATAGACTTGGATGTGGACGTGGATGTGGACGTGGTTTTGGAGTGGGCGTGGTCGTGGACGTCGACGTGGACGTGGACGTGGACGTGGACGTGGACGTGGACGTTGACGTGGTCGTGGACGTGGTCGTGGTCATGGTCGTGGACGAGGTCGTGGACTTGGACGTGGACGTGTTCGTGGACGTGGACGTGGACGTGGACGTCGTCGTGGACGTGGACGTCGTCGTTGACGTGGACGTCGTCGTGGACGTGGTCGTGGACGTGGACGTGGAGGACGTGGACGTGGAGGACGTGGACGTGGAGGACGTGGACGTGGACGTGGAGGACGTGGACGTAGACGTGGACGTGGATGTAGACATCTACGTGGACGTGGTCGTGGACATGGAGGACTTGGACGTGGACGTGGACGTGGAAGTGGAGGACGTGGATGTGGAGGAGGTGGACATGGACGTGGAGGACCTGGACGTGGACATGGATGTAGACGTGCACGTGGACGTGGTCGTGGACATGGAGGACTTGGACGTGGAAGTGGACGTGGACGTGGACGTGGTCGTGGACGTGGACGTGGACGTGGACATGGAGGACGTGGTCGTGGTCGTGGACGTGGACGTGGACGTGGTCGTGGACGTGGAGGACTTGGACGTGGACATGGACGTGGACGTGGACGTGGACCTGGAGGTGGTCGTGGAGGTGGACGTGGTCGTGTACGTGGACGTGGACGTGGACGTGGACGTGGACGTGGACCTGGACGTGGACGTGGACGTGGACCTGGACTTGGACGTGGACGTGGATGTGGACGTCGTCGTGGGGTGGACGTGGTCGTGGACGTCGACGTGGACGTGGTCGTGGACGTGGACGTGGACGTGGACGTTGACGTGGTCGTGGACGTGGTCGTATTCATAGTCGTGGACGTGGTCGTGGACGTGGACGTGGACGTGGACGTGGTCGTGGACGTGGACGTGGACGTGGACATCATCGTGGACGTGGACGTGGTCGTGGACGTGGACGTGGACGTGGTCGTGGACGTGGACGTGGTCGTGGACGTGGACGTGGACGTGGTCGTGGACGTGGACGTGGTCGTGGAGGACGTGGACGTGGACGTAAACGTGGACGTGGACGTGGACGTGGTCGTGGACGTGGAGGACTTGGAGGTGGACGTGGACGTGGACGTGGACGTGGTTGTGGACGTGGACGTGGTCGTGGACGTGGACGTGGACGTGGACTTGGACGTGGACGTGGACGTGGACGTCGTCGTGGACGTGGACGTGGACGTGGACGTGGACTTGGACGTGGACGTGGACGTGGACTTGGACGTGGACGCGGACCTGGACGTGGACGTGGTCGTGGACGTGGTCGTGGTCGTGGACGTGGAGGACGTGGTCGTGGACGTGGACGTGGATGTGGACGTGGACCTGGACGTGGACGTGGTCGTGGACGTGGACGTGGAGGTGGACGTGGACGTGGTCGTGGACATGGACGCCGACCTGGACGTGGACGTGGTCGTGGACGTGGTCGTGGACGTGGACGTGGACGTGGTTGTGGACGTGGACGTGGACTCGGACGTGGACGTGGAGGACGTGGACGTGGAGGACGTGGACGTGGACGTGGAGGACGTGGACGTGGACGTGGACGTAGACATCGACGTGGACGTGGTCGTGGACATGGAGGACTTGGACGTGGACGTGGACGTGGACGTGGACGTGGAGGATGTGGACGTGGAGGACGTGGAGGACGTGGACGTGGACGTGGAGGACATGGACGTGGACGTGGACGTGGACGTGGACGTAGACGTAGACGTAGACGTGGACGTGGTCGTGGACATGGAGGAGTTGGACGTGGACGTGGACGTGGATGTGTTCGTGGTCGTGGACGTGGACGTGGACGTGGAAGACGTGGACGTGGACGTGGACGTGGACGTGGTCGTGGACGTGGACGTGGGCGTGGTCGTGGACGTGGACGTGGACTTGGACGTGGACGTGGACGTGGACGTGGACGTGGACGTGGAGGACGTGGACGTGGACATGGACGTGGACGTGGACGTGGACGTGGACCTGGAGGTGGACGTGGACGTGGACCTGGAGGTGGTCGTGGACGTGGACCTGGACGTGGACGTCGACGTGGACCTGGACGTGGACGTGGACGTGGACCTGGACGTGGATGTGGATGTGGACGTGGTCGTGGAGTGGACGTGGTCGTGGACGTGGTCGTGGACGTGGACGTGGTCGTGGAGGACGTGGACGTGGACGTGGAGGACGTGGACGTGGACGAGGACGTGGACGTGGACGTCGACGTGGACGTGGACGTGGACGTCAAATAGGACATGGACGTGGACGTGGACCTAGGCGTGGACGTGGACGTGAACGTGGACCTGGACTTGGACGTGGACGTGGTCGTGGAGTGGACGTGGACGTTGACGTGGTCGTGGACGTGGTCGTGGTCGTGGTCGTGGACGTGGTCGTGGTCTTGGACGTGGACGTCGTCGTAAACGTGGACGTGGACGTCGACATTGACGTCGTCGTGAACGTGGAGGACTTGGACGTGGACGTGGACGTGGTCGTGGACGTGGACGCGGACCTGGACGTGGACGTGGTCGTGGACGTGGTCGTGGTCGTGGACGTGGAGGACGTGGTCGTGGACGTGGACGTGGACGTGGACGTGGACTCGGTCGTGGTCGTGGAAATGGTCGTAGACGTGGACGTGGTCGTCCACGACGTGGACGTGGACATGGACGTGGACGTGGACGTGGACGTGGACGTGGACGTGGTCCTGGACGTGGACGTGGTCGTGGAGGACGTGGACGTGGACGTGGACGTGGTCTTGGACATGGACGTGGACGTGGACATGGTTGTGGACGTGGACGTGGTCGTGGACGTGGACGTGGTCGTGGAGGACGTGGACGTGGACGTGGACGTGTTCTTGGACGTGGACGTGGACGTGGACATGGTCGTGGACGTGGACGTGGTCGTGGACGTGGACGTGGACGTGGACGTGGACTTGGACGTGGACGTGGACTTGGACGTGGACGTGGACGTGGACGTGGTCGGGGACGTGGAGGACTTGGACGTGGACATGGACGTGGACGTGGATGTGGACGTGGACCTCGAGGTGGTCGTGGACGTGGACGTGGTCGTGGACGTGGACCTGGACGTGGACGTGGACGTGGACCTGGACGTGGACGTGGACGTGGACATGGACTTGGATGTGGACGTGGATGTGGACGTGGTCGTGGAGTGGACGTGGTCGTGGACGTCGACGTGGACGTGGACGTCGACGTGGTCGTGGACGTGGACGTGGACGTGGACGTTGACGTGGTCGTGGACGTGGTCGTGGTCATGGTCGTGGACGAGGTCGTGGACGTGGACGTGGACGTGGACGTGTTTGTGGACGTGGACGTGGACGTGGACGTCGTCGTGGACGTGGTCGTGGACGTGGACGTGGACGTGGTCGTGGACGTGGACGTGGTCGTGGACGTGCACGTGGACGTGGTCGTGGACGTGGACGTGGAGGACGTGGACGTGGAGGACGTGGACGTGGACGTGGAGGACGTAGACGTAGACGTGGACGTGGACGTAGACGTCGACGTGGACGTGGTCGTGGACATGGAGGACTTGGACGTGGACGTGGACGTGGAGGACGTGGATGTGGAGGAGGTGGACGTGGACGTGGAGGACGTGGACGTGGACGTGGACGTAGACGTGCACGTGGACGTGGTCGTGGACATGGAGGACTTGGACGTGGAGGTGGACGTGGACGTGGACGTGGTCGTGGACATGGACGTAGAGGACGTGGACGTGGACGTGGACGTGGACGTGGTCGTGGACGTGGACGTGGATGTGGTCGTGGACGTGGACGTGGACGTGGACGTGGACTTGGACGTGGACGTGGACGTGGACGTGGACGTGGACGTGGTCGTGGACGTGGAGGACATGGACGTGGACATGGACGTGGACGTGGACGTGGACCTGGAGGTGGTCGTGGACGTGGACGTGGTCGTGGACGTGGACGTGGACCTGGACGTGGACGTGGACGTGGACCTGGACGTGGACGTGGACGTGGTCCTGGACTTGGACGTGGACGTGGATGTGGACGTGGTCGTGGAGTGGACGTGGTCGTGGACGTCGAGGTGGACGTGGACGTGGTCGTGGACGTGGACGTGGACGTGGACGTTGACGTGGACGTGGTCGTGGACGTGGACGTGGAGGACGTGGACGTGGACGTGGAGGACGTGGACGTAGACGTGGACGTGGACGTAGACGTCGACGTGGACGTGGTCGTGGACATGGAGGACTTGGACGTGGACGTGGACGTGGAGGATGTGGATGTGGAGGAGGTGGACGTGGACGTGGAGGACGTGGACGTGGACGTGGACGTAGACGTGCACGTGTACGTGGTCGTGGACATGGAGGACTTGGACGTGGACGTGGACGTGGACGTGGACGTGGTCGTGGACGTGGACGTGGAGGACGTGGACGTGGACGTGGACGTGGACGTGGTCATGGACGTGGACGTGGATGTGGTCGTGGACGTGGACGTGGACGTGGACGTGGACGTCGTCGTGGACGTGGACGTGGACGTGGACGTGGTCGTGGACGTGGAGGACTTGGACGTGGACATGGACGTGGACGTGGACGTGGACCTGGAGGTGGTCGTGGACGTGGACGTGGTCGTGGACGTGGACGTGGACCTGGACGTGGACGTGGACGTGGACCTGGACGTGGACGTGGACATGGTCCTGGACTTGGACGTGGACGTGGATGTGGACGTGGTCGTGGAGTGGACGTGGTTGTGGACGTCGACGTCGACGTTGATGTGGTCGTGGACGTGGTCGTGGTCATGGTCGTGGACGTGGTCGTGGACGTGGTCGTGGACGTCGACGTGGACGTGGACGTGGTCGTGGACGTGGACGTGGACGTGGACGTGGACGTTGACGTGGTCGTGGACGTGGTCGTGGTCATGGTCGTGGACGTGGTCGTGGACGTGGACGTGGACGTGGTCGTGGACGTGGACGTGGACGTGGACGTGGACGTGGTCGTGGACGTGGACGTGGTCGTGGACGTGGACGTGGACGTGGACGTGGACGTGGTCGTGGACGTGGACGTGGACGTGGTCGTGGACGTGGACGTGATCGTGGAGGACGTGGACGTGGACGTAAACGTGGACGTGGACGTGGACGTGGAGGACTTGAAGGTGGACGTGGACTTGGACGTGGACTTGGACGTGGTCGTGGACGTGGACGTGGTCGTGGACGTGGACGTGGACGTGGACTTGGACGTGGACGTGGACGTGGACGTTGGACGTGGACGTGGACGTCGTCGTGGACGTGGACGTGGACGTGGGCGTGTACGTGGACGTGGACGTGGTCGTGGACGTGGACGTGGACGTGGTCGTGGACGTGGACGTGGACGTGGACGTGGACGTGGTCGTGGACGTGGACGTGGACGTGGTCGTGGACGTGGACGTGGACGTGGACGTGGACTCGGACGTGGACGTGGACGTGGACGTGGACGTGGACGTGGACGTGGATGTGGACGTGGACGTTGACGTGGTCGTGGACGTGGTCGTGGTCGTGGTCGTGGACGTGGTCGTGGTCTTGGACGTGGACGTGGACGTGGACGTGGACTTGGACGTGGACGTGGACGTGGACCTGGACGTGGACGTGGTCGTGGACGTGGACGCGGACCTGGACATGGACGTGGTCGTGGACGTGGTCGTGGTCGTGGACGTGGAGGACATGGTCGTGGACGTGGACGTGGATGTGGACGTGGACCTTGACGTGGACGTGGTCGTGGACATGGACGTGGAGGTGGACGTGGACCTGGATGTGGACGTGGTTGTGGACGTGGACGCGGACCTGGACGTGGACGTGGTCGTGGACGTGGTCATGGTCGTGGACGTGGAGGACGTGGTCGTGGACGTGGACGTGGACGTGGACGTGGACGTGGTCGTGGTCGTGGACGTGGTCGTAGACGTGGACGTGGTTGTCCACGACGTGGACGTGGACGTGGACGTGGACACGGACGTGGTCGTGGACGTGGAGGACATGGACGTGGACGTGGATGTGGACGTGGACCTGGACGTGGACGTGGACGTGGACGTGGTCGTGGACGTGGACGTGGTCGTGGAGGACGTGGACGTGGACGTAGACGTGGACGTGGACGTGGACCTAGACGTGGACGTGGTCGTGGACATGGAGGACTTGGACGTGGACGTGGACGTGGACGTGGACGTGGTCGTGGACGTGGACGTGGACGTGGACGTGGAGGACGTCGACGCGGACGTGGTCGTGGAATGGACGTGGACGAGGTCGTGGACGTGGACGTGGACGTGGACGTGGACTTGGACGTGGACGTGGACGTGGGCGTGGACGTGGTCGTGGACGTGGAGGACTTGGACGTGGACATGGACGTGGACGTGGACGTGGACGTGGACCTGGAGGTGGTCGTGGACGTGGACGTGGTCGTGGACGTGGACGTGGACCTGGACGTGGACGTGGACGTGGACGTGGACCTGGACGTGGACGTGGACGTGGACCTGGACTTGGACGTGGACGTGGATGTGGACGTGGTCATGGAGTGGACGTGGTCGTGGACGTCGACGTGGACGTGGACGTGGACGTGGTCGTGGACGTGGTCGTGGACGTGGACGTTGTCGTGGACATGGACTTGGATGTGGACGTGGATGTGGACGTGGTCGTAGAGTGGACGTGGTCGTGGACGTCGACGTGGACGTCGACGTCGACGTGGTCGTGGACGTAGACGTGGACGTTGACGTGGTCGTGGACGTGGTCGTGGTCATGGTCGTGGACGAGGTCGTGGACGTGGACGTGGACGTGGACGTCGTCGTGGACGTGGACGTGGACGTGGACGTCGTCGTGGACGTGGTCGTGGACGTGGACGTGGACGTAGACGTGGTCGTGGACGTGGACGTGGTCGTGGACGTGCACGTGGACGTGGTCGTGGACGTGGACGTGGAGGACGTGGACGTGGAGGACGTGGACGAGGACGTGGAGGACGTGGACGTAGACGTGGACGTGGACGTAGACGTCGACGTGGACGTGGTCGTGGACATGGAGGACTTGGACGTGGACGTGGACGTGGACGTGGAGGACGTGGATGTGGAGGAGGTGGACGTGGACGTGGAGGACGTGGACGTGGACGTGGACGTAGACGTGCACGTGGACGTGGTCGTGGACATGGAGGACTTGGACGTGGACGTGGACGTGGACTTGGACGTGGACGTGGACTTGGACGTGGACGTGGACGTGGACTTGGACGTGGACGTGGACGTGGACGTGGACGTGGACGTGGTCGTGGACGTGGAGGACTTGGACGTGGACATGGACGTGGACGTGGACCTGGAGGTGGTCGTGGACGTGGTCGTGGACGTGGACGTGGACCTGGACGTGGACGTGGACGTGGACCTGGACGTGGACGTGGACGTGGTCCTGGAGTTGGACGTGGACGTGGATGTGGACATGGTCGTGGAGTGGACGTGGTCGTGGACGTCGACGTGGACGTGGACGTGGTCGTGGACGTGGACGTGGACGTGGACGTGGACGTTGACGTGGACGTGGTCGTGGTCGTAGACTTGGACGTGGACGTTGACGTGGTCGTGGACCTGGTCGTGGACGTGGTCGTGGACGTGGTCGTGGACGTCGACGTGGACGTGGACGTGGTCGTGGACGTGGACGTGGACGTGGACGTTGACGTGGTCGTGGACGTGGTCGTGGTCATGGTCGTGGACGTGGACGTGGACGTGGACGTCGTCGTGGACGTGGACGTGGACGTGGGCGTGTACGTGGACTTGGACGTGGACGTGGACGTGGACGTGGACTTGGACGTGGACGTGGACGTGGACCTGGACGTGGACGTTGTCGTGGACGTGGACGCGGACCTGGACGTGGACGTGGTCGTGGACGTGGTCGTGGTCGTGGACATGGAGGACGTGGTCATGGACGTGGACGTGGATGTGGACGTGGACCTGGACGTGGACGTGGTCGTGGACGTGGACGTGGAGGTGGACGTGGACCTGGATGTGGACGTGGTCGTGGACGTGGACGCGGACCTGGACGTGGACGTGGTCGTGGACGTGGTCATGGTCGTGGACGTTGAGGACGTGGTCGTGGACGTGGACGTGGACGTGGTCGTGGTCGTGGACGTGGTCATAGACGTGGACGTGGTCGTCCACGACGTGGACGTGGACGTGGACGTGGACATGGACGTGGTCGTGGACGTGGAGGACTTGGACGTGGACGTGGATGTGGACGTGGACCTGGACGTGGACGTGGACGTGGACGTGGTCGTGGACGTGGACGTGGTCGTGGAGGACGTGGACAAGGACGTGGACGTGGACGTAGACGTGGATGTGGTCGTGGACGTGGACGTGGAGGACGTGGACGCGGACGTGGTCGTGGACGTGGACGTGGACGTGGTCGTGGACGTGGACATGGACGTGGACGTGGACTTGGACGTGGACGTGGACATGGGCGTGGACGTGGTCGTGGACATGGAGGACTTGGACGTGGACATGGACGTGGACTTGGACGTGGACGTGGACCTAGAGGTGGTCGTGGACGTGGACGTGGTCGTGGACGTGGACGTGGACCTGGACGTGGACGTGGACGTGGACCTGGACGTGGACGTGGACGTGGACGTGGACCTGGACTTGGACGTGGACGTGGATGTGGACGTGGTCGTGGAGTGGATGTGGTCGTGGACGTCGACGTGGACGTGGACGTGGACGTGGTCGTGGACGTGGTCGTGGACGTGGACGTGGTCGTGGACATGGACTTGGATGTGGACGTGGATGTGGACGTGGTCGTGGAGTGGACGTGGTCGTGGACGTCGACGTGGACGTGGACGTCGACGTAGTCGTGGACGTGGACGTGGACGTGGACGTTGACGTGGTCGTGGACGTGGTCGTGGTCATGGTCGTGGACGAGGTCGTGGACGTGGACGTGGACGTGGACGTGTTCGTCGACGTGGACGTGGACGTGGACGTCGTCGTGGACGTGGTCGTGGACGTGGACGTGGACGTGGACGTGGTCGTGGACGCGGACCTGGACGTGGACGTGGTCGTGGACGTGGTCATGGTCGTGGACGTGGAGGACGTAGTTGTGGACGTGGACGTGGTCGTGGTCGAGGACGTGGTCGTAGACGTGGACGTGGTCGTCCACGACGTGGACGTGGACGTGGACGTGGACACGGACGTGGTCGTGGACGGGGAGGACTTGGACGTGGACGTGGATGTGGACGTGGACCTGGACGTGGACGTGGACGTGGACGTGGTCGTGGACATGGACGTGGTCGTGGAGGACGTGGACGTGGACGTAGACGTGGACGTGGACGTGGACCTAGACGTGGACGTGGTCGTGGACATGGAGGACTTGGACGTGGACGTGGACGTGGACGTGGACGTGGTCGTGGACGTGGACGTGGACGTGGACGTGGAGGACGTGGACGCGGACGTGGTCGTGGACGTGGACGTGGACGAGGTCGTGGACGTGGACGTGGACGTGGACGTGGACGTGGACTTGGACGTGGACGTGGACGTGGGCGTGGACGTGGTTGTGGACGTGGACGTGGACGTGGACCTGGAGGTGGTCGTGGACGTGGACGTGGTCGTGGACGTGGACGTGGACCTGGACGTGGACATGGACGTGGACGTGGACCTGGACGTGGACGTGGACGTGGACCTGGACTTGGACGTGGACGTGGATGTGGACGTGGTCATGGAGTGGACGTGGTCGTGGACGTCGACGTGGACGTGGACGTGGTCGTGGACGTGGTCGTGGACGTGGACGTTGTCGTGGACATGGACTTGGATGTGGACGTGGATGTGGACGTGGTCGTAGAGTGGACGTGGTCGTGGACGTCGACGTGGACGTGGACATCGACGTGGTCGTGGACGTAGACGTGGACGTTGACGTGGTCGTGGACGTGGTCGTGGTCATGGTCGTGGACGAGGTCGTGGACGTGGACGTGGACGTGGACGTCGTCGTGGACGTGGACGTGGACGTGGACGTCGTCGTGGACGTGGTCGTGGACGTGGACGTGGACGTAGACGTGGTCGTGGACGTGGACGTGGTCGTGGACGTGCACGTGGACGTGGTCGTGGACGTGGACGTGGAGGACGTGGACGTGGAGGACGTGGACGAGGACGTGGAGGACGTGGACGTAGACGTGGACGTGGACGTAGACGTCGACGTGGACGTGGTCGTGGACATGGAGGACTTGGACGTGGACGTGGACGTGGACGTGGAGGACGTGGATGTGGAGGAGGTGGACGTGGACGTGGAGGACGTGGACGTGGACGTGGACGTAGACGTGCACGTGGACGTGGTCGTGGACATGGAGGACTTGGACGTGGACGTGGACGTGGACTTGGACGTGGACGTGGACTTGGACGTGGACGTGGACGTGGACTTGGACGTGGACGTGGACCTGGAGGTGGTCGTGGACGTGGACGTGGTCGTGGACGTGGACGTGGACCTGGACGTGGACGTGGACGTGGACCTGGACGTGGACGTGGACGTGGTCCTGGAGTTGGACGTGGACGTGGATGTGGACGTGGTCGTGGAGTGGACGTGGTCGTGGACGTCGACGTGGACGTGGACGTGGTCGTGGACGTGGACGTGGACGTGGACGTTGACGTGGACGTGGTCGTGGTCGTAGACTTGGACGTGGACGTTGACGTGGTCGTGGACCTGGTCGTGGTCCTGGTCGTGGACATGGTCGTGGACGTGGTCGTGGACGTGGTCGTGGACGTCGACGTGGACGTGGACGTGGACGTTGACGTGGTCGTGGACGTGGTCGTGGTCATGGTCATGGACGTGGACGTGGACGTCGTCGTGGACGTGGACGTGGACGTGGGCGTGTACGTGGACTTGGACGTGGACGTGGACGTGGACGTGGACTTGGACGTGGACGTGGACGTGGACCTGGACGTGGACGTTGTCGTGGACGTGGACGCGGACCTGGACGTGGACATGGTCGTGGACGTGGTCGTGGTCGTGGACATGGAGGACGTGGTCATGGACGTGGACGTGGATGTGGACGTGGACCTGGACGTGGACGTGGTCGTGGACGTGGACGTGGAGGTGGACGTGGACCTGGATGTGGACGTGGTCGTGGACGTGGACGCGGACCTGGACGTGGACGTGGTCGTGGACGTGGTCATGGTCGTGGACGTTGAGGACGTGGTCGTGGACGTGGACGTGGACGTGGTCGTGGTCGTGGACGTGGTCGTCCACGACGTGGACGTGGACGTGGACGTGGACATGGACGTGGTCGTGGACGTGGAGGACTTGGACGTGGACGTGGATGTGGACGTGGACCTGGACGTGGACGTGGACGTGGACGTGGTCGTGGACGTGGACGTGGTCGTGGAGGACGTGGACGTGGACGTGGACGTGGACGTAGACGTGGATGTGGTCGTGGACGTGGACGTGGAGGACGTGGACGCGGACGTGGTCGTGGACGTGGACGTGGACGTGGACGTGGTCGTGGACGTGGACATGGACATGGACGTGGACTTGGACGTGGACGTGGACGTGGGCGTGGACGTGGTCGTGGACATGGAGGACTTGGACGTGGACATGGACGTGGACTTGGACGTGGACGTGGACCTAGAGGTGGTCGTGGACGTGGACGTGGTCGTGGACGTGGACCTGGACCTGGACGTGGACGTGGACGTGGACCTGGACGTGGACGTGGACGTGGACGTGGACCTGGACTTGGACGTGGACGTGGATGTGGACGTGGTCGTGGAGTGGATGTGGTCGTGGACGTCAACGTGGACGTGGACGTGGACGTGGTCGTGGACGTGGTCGTGGACGTGGACGTGGTCGTGGACATGGACTTGGATGTGGACGTGGATGTGGACGTGGTCGTGGAGTGGACGTGGTCGTGGACGTCGACGTGGACGTGGACGTCGACGTAGTCGTGGACGTGGACGTGGACGTGGACGTTGACGTGGTCGTGGACGTGGTCGTGGTCATGGTCGTGGACGAGGTCGTGGACGTGGACGTGGACGTGGACATGTTCGTGGACGTGGACGTGGACGTGGACGTCGTCGTGGACGTGGTCGTGGACGTGGATGTGGACGTGGACGTGGTCGTGGACGTGGACATGGTCATAGACGTGCACGTGGACGTGGTCGTGGACGTGGACGTGGAGGACGTGGACGTGGAGGACGTGGACGTGGACGTGGACGTGGAGGACGTGGACGTAGACGTGGACGTGGACGTAGACGTCGACGTGGACGTGGTCGTGGACATGGAGGACTTGGACGTGGACGTGGACGTGGACGTAGAGGACGTGGATGTGGAGGAGGTGGACGTGGACGTGGAGGACGTGGACGTGGACGTGGACGTAGACGTGCACGTGGACGTGGTCGTGGACATGGAGGACTTGGACGTGGACGTGGACGTGGACTTGGACGTGGACGTGGACTTGGACGTGGACGTGGACGTGGACTTGGACGTGGACGTGGACGTGGACGTGGACGTGGTCGTGGACGTGGAGGACTTGGACGTGGACATGGACGTGGACGTGGACGTGGACTTGGACGTGGATGTGGACGTGGTCGTGGACGTGGTCGTGGACGTGGACGTGGACGTGGACCTGGTCGTGGACGTGGATGTGGACGTGGATGTTGACGTGGACGTGGTCGTGGACGTGGACGTGGACGTGGTCGTGGACGTCGACGTGGACGTGGACGTGGTCGTGGACGTGGACGTCGACGTGGACGTGGTCGTGGACGTGGACGTGGACGTTGACGTGGTCGTGGACGTGGTCGTGGTCATGGTCGTGGACGTGGTCGTGGACGTGGTCGTGGACGTCAACGTGGACGTGGACGTGGTCGTGGACGTGGACGTGGACGTGGACGTGGACGTGGACGTTGACGTGGTCGTGGACGTGGTCGTGGTCATGGTCGTGGACGTGGTCGTGGACGTGGACGTGGACGTGGTCGTGGACGTGGACGTGGACGTCGTCGTGGACGTGGACGTGGTCGTGGACACGGACGTGGACGTGGACGTGGTCGTGGACGTGGACGTGGTCGTGGACGTGGACGTGGTCGTGGACGTGGACGTGGTCGTGGAGGACGTGGACGTGGACGTAAACGTGGACGTGGACGTGGTCGTGGACGTGGAGGACTTGAAGGTGGACGTGGACGTGGACGTGGACGTGGTCGTGGACGTGGACGTGGTCGTGGAAATGGACGTGGACGTGGACTTGGACGTGGACGTGGACGTGGACGTGGACGTGGAAGTCGTCGTGGACGTGGACGTAGACGTGGGCGTGTACGTGGACGTGGACGTGGACGTGGACGTGGACGTGGACGTGGACTTGGACGTGGACGTGGACGTGGACCTGGACCTGGACGTGGTCGTGGACGTGGACGCGGACCTGGACGTGGACGTGGTCGTGGACGTGGACGTGGACGTGGAGGACGTGGTCGTGGACGTGGACGTGGTCGTGGACGTGGAGGACGTGGTCGTGGACGTGGACGTGGTCGTGGTCGTGGACGTGGTCGTGGACGTGGACGTGGACGTGGACGTGGTCGTGGACGTGGTCGTGGACGTGGTCGTGGACGTGGTCGTGGTCGTGGTCGTGGTCGTGAACGTGGTCGTAGACGTGGACGTGGTCGTCCACGACGTGGACGTGGACGTGGACGTGGACATGGACGTGGTCGTAGACGTGGAGGACTTGGACGTGGACGTGGATGTGGACGTGGACCTGGACGTGGACGTGGACGTGGACGAGGTCGTGGAGGACGTGGACGTGGACGTGGACTTGGACGTGGACGTGGACTTGGACGTGGACGTGGACGTGGACTTGGACGTGGACGTGGACGTGGACGTGGTCGTGGACGTGGAGGACTTGGACGTGGACATGGACGTGGACGTGGACCTGGAGGTGGTCGTGGACGTGGACGTGGTCGTGGACGTGGACGTGGACCTGGACGTGGACGTGGACGTGGACCTAGACGTGGACGTGGACGTGGTCCTGGAGTTGGACGTGGACGTGGATGTGGACGTGGTCGTGGAGTGGACGTGGTCGTGGACGTCGACGTGGACGTGGACGTGGTCGTGGACGTGGACGTGGACGTGGACGTTGACGTGGACGTGGTCGTGGTCGTAGACTTGGACGTGGACGTTGACGTGGTCGTGGACCTGGTCGTGGTCCTGGTCGTGGACGTGGTCGTGGACGTGGTCGTGGACGTGGTCGTGGACGTCGACGTGGACGTGGACGTGGTCGTGGACGTGGACGTGGGCGTGGACGTTGACGTGGTCGTGGACGTGGTCGTGGTCATGGTCATGGACGTGGACGTGGACGTCGTCGTGGACGTGGACGTGGACGTGGGCGTGTACGTGGACTTGGACGTGGACGTGGACGTGGACGTGGACTTGGACGTGGACGTGGACGTGGACCTGGACGTGGACGTTGTCGTGGACGTGGACGCGGACCTGGACGTGGACGTGGTCGTGGACGTGGTCGTGGTCGTGGACATGGAGGACGTGGTCATGGACGTGGACGTGGATGTGGACGTGGACCTGGACGTGGACGTGGTCGTGGACGTGGACGTGGAGGTGGACGTGGACCTGGATGTGGACGTGGTCGTGGACGTGGACGCGGACCTGGACGTGGACGTGATCGTGGACGTGGTCATGGTCGTGGACGTTGAGGACGTGGTCGTGGACGTGGACGTGGACGTGGTCGTGGTCGTGGACGTGGTCATAGACGTGGACGTGGTCGTCCACGACGTGGACGTGGACGTGGACGTGGACATGGACGTGGTCGTGGACGTGGAGGACTTGGACGTGGACGTGGATGTGGACGTGGACCTGGACGTGGACGTGGACGTGGACGTGGTCGTGGACGTGGACGTGGTCGTGGAGGACGTGGACGTGGACGTGGACGTGGACGTAGACGTGGATGTGGTCGTGGACGTGGACGTGGAGGACGTGGACGCGGACGTGGTCGTGGACGTGGACGTGGACGTGGACGTGGTCGTGGACGTGGACATGGACGTGGACGTGGACTTGGACGTGGACGTGGACGTGGGCGTGGACGTGGTCGTGGACATGGAGGACTTGGACGTGGACATGGACGTGGACTTGGACGTGGACGTGGACCTAGAGGTGGTCGTGGACGTGGACGTGGTCGTGGACGTGGACCTGGACCTGGACGTGGACGTGGACGTGGACCTGGACGTGGACGTGGACGTGGACGTGGACCTGGACTTGGACGTGGACGTGGATGTGGACGTGGTCGTGGAGTGGATGTGGTCGTGGACGTCAACGTGGACGTGGACGTGGACGTGGTCGTGGACGTGGTCGTGGACGTGGACGTGGTCGTGGACATGGACTTGGATGTGGACGTGGATGTGGACGTGGTCGTGGAGTGGACGTGGTCGTGGACGTCGACGTGGACGTGGACGTCGACGTAGTCGTGGACGTGGACGTGGACGTGGACGTTGACGTGGTCGTGGACGTGGTCGTGGTCATGGTCGTGGACGAGGTCGTGGACGTGGACGTGGACGTGGACATGTTCGTGGACGTGGACGTGGACGTGGACGTCGTCGTGGACGTGGTCGTGGACGTGGACGTGGACGTGGACGTGGTCGTGGACGTGGACATGGTCATAGACGTGCACGTGGACGTGGTCGTGGACGTGGACGTGGAGGACGTGGACGTGGAGGACGTGGACGTGGACGTGGACGTGGAGGACGTGGACGTAGACGTGGACGTGGACGTAGACGTCGACGTGGACGTGGTCGTGGACATGGAGGACTTGGACGTGGACGTGGACGTGGACGTAGAGGACGTGGATGTGGAGGAGGTGGACGTGGACGTGGAGGACGTGGACGTGGACGTGGACGTAGACGTGCACGTGGACGTGGTCGTGGACATGGAGGACTTGGACGTGGACGTGGACGTGGCCTTGGACGTGGACGTGGACTTGGACGTGGACGTGGACGTGGACTTGGACGTGGACGTGGACGTGGACGTGGACGTGGACGTGGTCGTGGACGTGGAGGACTTGGACGTGGACATGGACGTGGACGTGGACGTGGACGTGGTCGTGGACGTGGTCGTGGACGTGGTCGTGGACGTGGACGTGGACGTGGACCTGGTCGTGGACGTGGACGTGGACGTGGACGTTGACGTGGACGTGGTCGTGGACGTGGACGTGGACGTGGTCGTGGACGTCGACGTGGACGTGGACGTGGTCGTGGACGTGGACGTCGACGTGGACGTGGTCGTGGACGTGGACGTGGACGTTGACGTGGTCGTGGACGTGGTCGTGGTCATGGTCGTGGACGTGGTCGTGGACGTGGTCGTGGACGTCGACGTGGACGTGGACGTGGTCGTGGACGTGGACGTGGACGTGGACGTGGACGTTGACGTGGTCGTGGACGTGGTCGTGGTCATGGTCGTGGACGTGGTCGTGGACGTGGACGTGGACGTGGTCGTGGACGTGGACGTGGACGTCGTCGTGGACGTGGACGTGGTCGTGGACACGGACGTGGACGTGGACGTGGTCGTGGACGTGGACGTGGTCGTGGACGTGGACGTGGTCGTGGACGTGGACGTGGTCGTGGAGGACGTGGACGTGGACGTAAACGTGGACGTGGACGTGGTCGTGGACGTGGAGGACTTGAAGGTGGACGTGGACGTGGACGTGGACGTGGTCGTGGACGTGGACGTGGTCGTGGACATGGACGTGGACGTGGACTTGGACGTGGACGTGGACGTGGACGTGGACGTGGACGTGGAAGTCGTCGTGGACGTGGACGTAGACGTGGGCGTGTACGTGGACGAGGACGTGGACGTGGACGTGGACGTGGACGTGGACTTGGACGTGGACGTGGACGTGGACCTGGACCTGGACGTGGTCGTGGACGTGGACGCGGACCTGGACGTGGACGTGGTCGTGGACGTGGACGTGGACGTGGAGGACGTGGTCGTGGACGTGGACGTGGTCGTGGACGTGGAGGACGTGGTCGTGGACGTGGACGTGGTCGTGGTCGTGGACGTGGTCGTGGACGTGGACGTGGACGTGGACGTGGTCGTGGACGTGGAGGACGTGGTCGTGGACGTGGACGTGGACGTGGTCGTGGTCGTGAACGTGGTCGTAGACGTGGACGTGGTCGTCCACGACGTGGACGTGGACGTGGACATGGACATGGTCGTGGACGTGGAGGACTTGGACGTGGACGTGGATGTGGACGTGGACCTGGACGTGGACGTGGACGTGGACGTGGTCGTGGACGTGGACGAGGTCGTGGAGGACGTGGACGTGGACGTGGACGTAGACGTGGACATGGACGTGGACGTAGACGTGGACGTGGTCGTAGACATGGAGGACTTGGACGTGGACGTGGACGTGGACGTGGTCGTGGACGTGGACGTGGACGTGGAGGTCGTGGACGCAGACGTGGTCGTGGACGTGGAGGTGGACGTGGTCGTGGACGTGGACGTGGACGTGGACTTGGACGTGGACGTGGACGTGGGCGTGGACGTGGTCGTGGACGTGGAGGACTTGGACGTGGACATGGACGTGGATGTGGACGTGGACGTGGACCTGGAGGTGGTCGTGGACATGGACGTGGTCGTGGACGTGGACGTGGACCTGGACGTGGACGTGGACCTAGACGTGGACGTGGACGTGGACCTGGACTTGGACGTGGACGTGGATGTGGACGTGGTCGTGGAGTGGACGTGGTCGTGGACGTCGACGTGGACGTGGACGTGGACGTGGTCGTGGACGTGGTCGTGGACGTGGACGTGGACGTGGTCGTGGTCCTGGTCGTGGACGTGGTCGTGGACGTGGACGTGGACGTGGACGTGGTCGTGGACGTGGACGTAGACGTGGACGTGGACGTCGTCGTGGACGTGGACGTGGTCGTGGACGTGGACGTGGACGTGGTCATGGACGTGGACGTGGTCGTGGACGTGGACGTGGACATGGAGGACGTGGACGTGGACGTGGACGTGGACGTGGACGTGGTCGTGGACGTGGACGTGGACGTGGTCGTGGACGTGGACGTGGACGTGGACGTGGACTTTGACGTGGACGTGGACGTGGACGTGGACGTGGTCGTGGACGTGGAGGACTTGGACGTGGACATGGACGTGGACGTGGACGTGGACCTGGAGGTGGTCGTGGACGTGGACGTGGTCGTGGACGTGGACGTGGACCTGGACGTGGACGTGGACGTGGACCTGGACGTGGACGTGGACGTGGACGTGGACTTGGACGTGGACGTGGATGTGGACGTGGTCGTGGAGTGGACGTGGACGTGGACGTCGACGTGGACGTGGACGTCGACGTGGACGTGGTCGTGGACGTGGACGTGGTCGTGGACGTGGACGTGGACGTGGACGTGGTCATGGACGTGGACGTGGTCGTGGACGTGGACGTGGACATGGAGGATGTGGACGTGGAAGTGGACGTGGTCGTGGACGTGGACGTGGACGTGGTCGTGGACGTGGACGTGGACGTGGACTTTGACGTGGACGTGGACGTGGACGTGGACGTGGACCTGGACGTGGACGTGGACCTGGACGTGGACGTGGACGTGGACCTGGACTTGGACCTGGACGTGGATGTGGACGTGGTCGTGGAGTGGACGTGGACGTGGACGTCGACGTGGACGTGGTCGTGGATGTCGACGTGGACGTGGTCGTGGACGTGGACGTTGACGTGGTCGTGGAAGTGGTCGTGGACGTGGACGTGGACGTGGACGTGGTCGTGGATGAGGACGTGGACGTGGACTTGGACATCGTCGTGGACGTGGACGTGGTCGTGGACGTAAACGTGGACGTGGACGTGGTCGTGGACGTGGACTTGGTCGTGGACGTGGACGTGGACGTGGTCGTGGACGTGGACGTGGACGTGGTCGTGGAGGACGTGGATGTGGACGTAAACGTGGACGTGGACGTGGTCGTGGACGTGGACGTGGTTGTGGACGTGGAGGACTTAGAGGTGGCCGTGGACGTGGACGTGGACGTGGTCGTGGACGTGGTCGTGGACGTGGACGTGGACGTGGACTTGGACGTGGACGTGGACGTGGACGTGGACGTGGACGTGGACGTGGACTTGGACGTGGACGTGGACGTGGACGTGGACTTGGACGTGGATGTGGACGTGGACGCGGACCTGGACGTGGACGTGGTCGTGGACGTGGTCGTGGACGTGGACGTGGACCTGGACGTGGACGTGGACGTGGACCTGGACGTGGACGTGGACGTGGTCCTGGAGTTGGACGTGGACGTGGATGTGGACGTGGTCGTGGAGTGGACGTGGTCGTGGACGTCGACGTGGACGTGGACGTGGTCGTGGACGTGGACGTGGACGTGGACGTTGACGTGGACGTGGTCGTGGTCGTAGACTTGGACGTGGACGTTGACGTGGTCGTGGACCTGGTCGTGGTCCTGGTCGTGGACGTGGTCGTGGACGTGGTCGTGGACGTGGTCGTGGACGTCGACGTGGACGTGGACGTGGTCGTGGACGTGGACGTGGACGTGGACGTTGACGTGGTCGTGGACGTGGTCGTGGTCATGGTCATGGACGTGGACGTGGACGTCGTCGTGGACGTGGACGTGGACGTGGGCGTGTACGTGGACTTGGACGTGGACGTGGACGTGGACGTGGACTTGGACGTGGACGTGGACGTGGACCTGGACGTGGACGTTGTCGTGGACGTGGACGCGGACCTGGACGTGGACGTGGTCGTGGACGTGGTCGTGGTCGTGGACATGGAGGACGTGGTCATGGACGTGGACGTGGATGTGGACGTGGACCTGGACGTGGACGTGGTCGTGGACGTGGACGTGGAGGTGGACGTGGACCTGGATGTGGACGTGGTCGTGGACGTGGACGCGGACCTGGACGTGGACGTGGTCGTGGACGTGGTCATGGTCGTGGACGTTGAGGACGTGGTCGTGGACGTGGACGTGGACGTGGTCGTGGTCGTGGACGTGGTCATAGACGTGGACGTGGTCGTCCACGACGTGGACGTGGACGTGGACGTGGACATGGACGTGGTCGTGGACGTGGAGGACTTGGACGTGGACGTGGATGTGGACGTGGACCTGGACGTGGACGTGGACGTGGTCGTGGACGTGGACGTGGTCGTGGAGGACGTGGACGTGGACGTGGACGTGGACGTAGACGTGGATGTGGTCGTGGACGTGGACGTGGAGGACGTGGACGCGGACGTGGTCGTGGACGTGGACGTGGACGTGGTCGTGGACGTGGACATGGACGTGGACGTGGACTTGGACGTGGACGTGGACGTGGGCGTGGACGTGGTCGTGGACATGGAGGACTTGGACGTGGACATGGACGTGGACTTGGACGTGGACGTGGACCTAGAGGTGGTCGTGGACGTGGACGTGGTCGTGGACGTGGACCTGGACCTGGACGTGGACGTGGACGTGGACCTGGACGTGGACGTGGACGTGGACGTGGACCTGGACTTGGACGTGGACGTGGATGTGGACGTGGTCGTGGAGTGGATGTGGTCGTGGACGTCAACGTGGACGTGGACGTGGACGTGGTCGTGGACGTGGTCGTGGACGTGGACGTGGTCGTGGACATGGACTTGGATGTGGACGTGGATGTGGACGTGGTCGTGGAGTGGACGTGGTCGTGGACGTCGACGTGGACGTGGACGTCGACGTAGTCGTGGACGTGGACGTGGACGTTGACGTGGTCGTGGACGTGGTCGTGGTCATGGTCGTGGACGAGGTCGTGGACGTGGACGTGGACGTGGACATGTTCGTGGACGTGGATGTGGACGTGGACGTCGTCGTGGACGTGGTCGTGGACGTGGACGTGGACGTGGACGTGGTCGTGGACGTGGACATGGTCATAGACGTGCACGTGGACGTGGTCGTGGACGTGGACGTGGAGGACGTGGACGTGGAGGACGTGGACGTGGACGTGGACGTGGAGGACGTGGACGTAGACGTGGACGTGGACGTAGACGTCGACGTGGACGTGGTCGTGGACATGGAGGACTTGGACGTGGACGTGGACGTGGACGTAGAGGACGTGGATGTGGAGGAGGTGGACGTGGACGTGGAGGACGTGGACGTGGACGTGGACGTAGACGTGCACGTGGACGTGGTCGTGGACATGGAGGACTTGGACGTGGACGTGGACGTGGACTTGGACGTGGACGTGGACTTGGACGTGGACGTGGACGTGGACTTGGACGTGGACGTGGACGTGGACGTGGACGTGGACGTGGTCGTGGACGTGGAGGACTTGGACGTGGACATGGACGTGGACGTGGACGTGGACTTGGACGTGGATGTGGACGTGGTCGTGGACGTGGTCGTGGACGTGGACGTGGACGTGGACCTGGTCGTGGACGTGGACGTGGACGTGGACGTTGACGTGGACGTGGTCGTGGACGTGGACGTGGACGTGGTCGTGGACGTCGACGTGGACGTGGACGTGGTCGTGGACGTGGACGTCGACGTGGACGTGGTCGTGGACGTGGACGTGGACGTTGACGTGGTCGTGGACGTGGTCGTGGTCATGGTCGTGGACGTGGTCGTGGACGTGGTCGTGGACGTCGACGTGGACGTGGACGTGGTCGTGGACGTGGACGTGGACGTGGACGTGGACGTGGACGTGGACGTTGACGTGGTCGTGGACGTGGTCGTGGTCATGGTCGTGGACGTGGTCGTGGACGTGGACGTGGACGTGGACGTGGTCGTGGACGTGGACGTGGACGTCGTCGTGGACGTGGACGTGGTCGTGGACACGGACGTGGACGTGGACGTGGTCGTGGACGTGGACGTGGTCGTGGACGTGGACGTGGTCGTGGACGTGGACGTGGTCGTGGAGGACGTGGACGTGGACGTAAACGTGGACGTGGACGTGGTCGTGGACGTGGAGGACTTGAAGGTGGACGTGGACGTGGACGTGGTCGTGGACGTGGACGTGGTCGTGGACATGGACGTGGACGTGGACTTGGACGTGGACGTGGACGTGGACGTGGACGTGGACGTGGAAGTCGTCGTGGACGTGGACGTAGACGTGGGCGTGTACGTGGACGTGGACGTGGACGTGGACGTGGACGTGGATGTGGACTTGGACGTGGACGTGGACGTGGACCTGGACCTGGACGTGGTCGTGGACGTGGACGCGGACCTGGACGTGGACGTGGTCGTGGACGTGGACGTGGACGTGGAGGACGTGGTCGTGGACGTGGACGTGGTCGTGGACGTGGAGGACGTGGTCGTGGACGTGGACGTGGTCGTGGTCGTGGACGTGGTCGTGGACGTGGACGTGGACGTGGACGTGGTCGTGGACGTGGAGGACGTGGTCGTGGACGTGGACGTGGACGTGGTCGTGGTCGTGAACGTGGTCGTAGACGTGGACGTGGTCGTCCACGACGTGGACGTGGACGTGGACGTGGACATGGACGTGGTCGTGGACGTGGAGGACTTGGACGTGGACGTGGATGTGGACGTGGACCTGGACGTGGACGTGGACGTGGACGTGGTCGTGGACGTGGACGAGGTCGTGGAGGACGTGGACGTGGACGTGGACGTAGACGTGGACGTGGACGTAGACGTGGACGTGGTCGTGGACATGGAGGACTTGGACGTGGACGTGGACGTGGACGTGGTCGTGGACGTGGACGTGGACGTGGAGGTCGTGGACGCGGACGTGGTCGTGGACGTGGAGGTGGACGTGGTCGTGGACGTGGACGTGGACGTGGACTTGGACGTGGACGTGGACGTGGGCGTGGACGTGGAGGACTTGGACGTGGACATGGACGTGGATGTGGACGTGGACGTGGACCTGGAGGTGGTCGTGGACATGGACGTGGTCGTGGACGTGGACGTGGACCTGGACGTGGACGTGGACCTAGACGTGGACGTGGACGTGGACCTGGACTTGGACGTGGACGTGGATGTGGACGTGGTCGTGGAGTGGACGTGGTCGTGGACGTCGACGTGGACGTGGACGTGGACGTGGTCGTGGACGTGGTCGTGGACGTGGACGTGGACGTGGTCGTGGTCCTGGTCGTGGACGTGGTCGTGGACGTGGACGTGGACGTGGACGTGGACGTGGTCGTGGACGTGGACGTAGACGTGGACGTGGACGTCGTCGTGGACGTGGACGTGGTCGTGGACGTGGACGTGGACGTGGTCATGGACGTGGACGTGGTCGTGGACGTGGACGTGGACATGGAGGACGTGGACGTGGACGTGGACGTGGACGTGGTCGTGGACGTGGACGTGGACGTGGTCGTGGACGTGGACGTGGACGTGGACGTGGACTTTGACGTGGACGTGGACGTGGACGTGGACGTGGTCGTGGACGTGGAGGACTTGGACGTGGACATGGACGTGGACGTGGACGTGGACCTGGAGGTGGTCGTGGACGTGGACGTGGTCGTGGATGTGGACGTGGACCTGGACGTGGACGTGGACGTGGACCTGGACGTGGACGTGGACGTGGACGTGGACTTGGACGTGGACGTGGATGTGGACGTGGTCGTGGAGTGGACGTGGACGTGGACGTCGACGTGGACGTGGACGTCGACGTGGACGTGGTCGTGGACGTGGACGTGGACGTGGTCGTGGACGTGGACGTGGACGTGGACGTGGTCATGGACGTGGACGTGGTCGTGGACGTGGACGTGGACATGGAGGACGTGGACGTGGACGTGGACGTGGTCGTGGACGTGGACGTGGACGTGGTCGTGGACGTGGACGTGGACGTGGACTTTGACGTGGACGTGGACGTGGACGTGGACGTGGACCTGGACGTGGACGTGGACCTGGACGTGGACGTGGACGTGGACCTGGAATTGGACCTGGACGTGGATGTGGACGTGGTCGTGGAGTGGACGTGGACGTGGACGTCGACGTGGACGTGGTCGTGGATGTCGACGTGGACGTGGTCGTGGACGTGGACGTTGACGTGGTCGTGGAAGTGGTCGTGGACGTGGACGTGGACGTGGACGTGGTCGTGGATGAGGACGTGGACGTGGACTTGGACATCGTCGTGGACGTGGACGTGGTCGTGGACGTGGACGTGGACGTGGACGTGGTCGTGGACGTGGACTTGGTCGTGGACGTGGACGTGGTCGTGGACGTGGACGTGGACGTGGTCGTGGAGGACGTGGATGTGGACGTAAACGTGGACGTGGACGTGGTCGTGGACGTGGACGTGGTTGTGGACGTGGAGGACTTAGAGGTGGCCGTGGACGTGGACGTGGACGTGGTCGTGGACGTGGTCGTGGACGTGGACGTGGACGTGGACTTGGACGTGGACGTGGACGTGGACGTGGACGTGGACGTGGACGTGGACGTGGACGTGGACTTGGACGTGGACGTGGACGTGGACGTGGACTTGGACGTGGATGTGGACGTGGACGCGGACCTGGACGTGGACGTGGTCGTGAACGTGGTCGTGGTCGTGGACGTGGAGGACGTGGTCGAGGACGTGGACGTGGATGTGGACGTGGATCTGGACGTGGACGTGGTCGTGGACGTGGACGTGGAGGTGGACGTGGACCTGGACGTGGACGTGGTCGTGGACGTGGACGCGGACCTGGACGTGGACGTGGTCGTGGACGTGGTCGTGGACGTGGACGTGGACGTGGTTGTGGACATAGACGTGGACGTGGACGTGGACGTAAAGGATGTCGACGTGGAGGACGTGGACGTGGACGTGGAGGACGTGGACGTGGACATGGAGGACTTGGACGTGGACGTGGACGTGGACGTAGACATCGACGTGGACATGGACGTGGACGTGGACGTGGACGTGGACGTGGACGTGGACGTGGACGTCGTCGTGGACGTGGACGTGGGCGTGTACGTGGACGTGGACGTGGACGTGGACGTCGTCGTGGACGTGGACGTGGGCGTGTACGTGGACGTGGACTTGGACGTGGACGTGGACGTGGACGTGGACTTGGACGTGGACGTGGACGTGGACCTGGACGTGGACGTGGTCGTGGACGTGGACGTGGACGTGGACGTGGACTTTGACGTGGACGTGGACGTGGACGTGGACGTGGACGTGGTCGTGGACGTGGACGTGGACGTGGACGTGGACGTAGACATCGACGTGGACATGGACGTGGACGTGGACGTGGACGTGGACGTCGTCGTGGACGTGGACGTGGGCGTGTACGTGGACGTGGACGTGGACGTGGACGTCGTCGTGGACGTGGACGTGGGCGTGTACGTGGACGTGGACTTGGACGTGGACGTGGACGTGGACGTGGACTTGGACGTGGACGTGGACGTGGACCTGGACGTGGACGTGGTCGTGGACGTGGACGCGGACCTGGACGTGGACGTGGTCGTGGACGTGGTCGTGGTCGTGGACGTGGAGGACGTGGTCGTGGACGTGGACGTGGATGTGGACGTGGACCTGGACGTGGACGTGGTCGTGGACGTGGACGTGGAGGTGGACGTGGACCTGGATGTGGACGTGGTCGTGGACGTGGACGCGGACCTGGACGTGGACGTGGTCGTGGACGTGGTCATGGTCGTGGACGTGGAGGACGTGGACGTGGACGTGGACGTGGTCGTGGTCGTGAACGTGGTCGTAGACGTGGACGTGGTCGTCCACGACGTGGACGTGGACGTGGACGTGGACATGGACGTGGTCGTGGACGTGGAGGACGTGGACGTGGACGTGGATGTGGACGTAAACCTGGACGTGGACGTGGACGTAGACGTGGTCGTGGACGTGGACGAGGTCGTGGAGGACGTGGACGTGGACGTGGACGTAGACGTGGACGTGGACGTAGACGTGGACGTGGTCGTGGACATGGAGGACTTGGACGTGGACGTGGACGTGGACGTGGTCGTGGACGTGGACGTGGACGTGGAGGACGTGGATGCGGACGTGGTCGTGGACGTGGACGTGGACGTGGTCGTGGACGTGGACGTGGACGTGGACTTGGACGTGGACGTGGACGTGGGCGTGGACGTGGTCGTGGACGTGGAGGACTTGGACGTGGACATGGACGTGGATGTGGACGTGGACGTGGATCTGGAGGTGGTCGTGGACGTGGACGTGGTCGTGGACGTGGACGTGTACCTGGACGTGGACGTGGACCTGGACGTGGACGTGGACGTGGACCTGGACTTGGACGTGGACGTGGATGTGGACGTGGTCGTGGAAGTCGACGTGGACGTGGACGTGGACGTGGTCGTGGACGTGGTCGTGGACGTGGACGTGGTCGTGGACGTGGTCGTGGTCCTGGTCGTGGACGTGGTCGTGGACGTGGACGTGGACGTGGACGTGGACGTGGTCGTGGACGTGGACGTAGACGTGGACGTGGACGTCGTCGTGGACGTGGTCGTGGACGTGGACGTGGACGTGGTCATGGACGTGGACGTGGTCGTGGACGTGGACGTGGACATGGAGGACGTGGACGTGGACGTGGACGTGGACGTGGTCGTGGACGTGGACGTGGACGTGGTCGTAGACGTGGACGTGGACGTGGACGTGGACTTTGACGTGGACGTGGACGTGGACGTGGACGTGGACGTGGTCGTGGACGTGGAGGACTTGGACGTGGACATGGACGTGGACGTGGACGTGGACCTGGAGGTGGTCGTGGACGTAGACGTGGTCGTGGACGTGGACGTGGACCTGGACGTGGACGTGGACGTGGACCTGGACGTGGACGTGGACGTGGACCTGGACTTGGACGTGGACGTGGATGTGGACGTGGTCGTGGAGTGGACGTGGACGTGGACGTCGACGTGGACGTGGACGTGGACGTCGACGTGGACGTGGTCGTGGACGTGGACGTGTACGTGGTCATGGACGTGGACGTGGACGTGGTAATGGACGTGGACGTGGTCGTGGACGTGGACGTGGACATGGAGGACGTGGACGTGGACGTGGACGTGGTCGTGGACGTGGACGTGGACGTGGTCGTGGACGTGGACGTGGACGTGGACGTGGACTTTGACGTGGACGTGGACGTGGACGTGGACGTGGACCTGGACGTGGACGTGGACCTGGACGTGGACGTGGACGTGGACCTGGACTTGGACGTGGACGTGGATGTGGACGTGGTCGTGGAGTGGACGTGGTCGTGGACGTCGACGTGGACGTGGACGTGGACGTGGTCGTGGACGTGGTCGTGGACGTGGACGTGGTCGTGGACGTGGTCGTGGTCCTGGTCGTGGACGTGGTCGTGGACGTGGACGTGGACGTGGTCGTGGACGTGGACGTAGACGTGGACGTGGACGTCGTCGTGGACGTGGACGTGGTCGTGGACGTGGACGTGGACGTGGTCATGGACGTGGACGTGGTCGTGGACGTGGACGTGGACATGGAGGACGTGGACGTGGACGTGGACGTGGTCGTGGACGTGGACGTGGACGTGGTCGTGGACGTGGACGTGGACGTGGACGTGGACTTTGACGTGGACGTAGACGTGGACGTGGACGTGGACGTGGTCGTGGACGTGGAGGACTTGGACGTGGACATGGACGTGGACGTGGACGTGGACCTGGAGGTGGTCGTGGACGTGGACGTGGTCGTGGACGTGGACGTGGACCTGGACGTGGACGTGGACGTGGACCTGGACTTGGACGTGGACGTGGATGTGGACGTGGTCGTGGAGTGGACGTGGACGTGGACATCGACGTGGACGTGGTCGTGGAGTGGACGTGGACGTGGTCGTGGACGTGGACGTGGACGTGGACGTCGACGTGGACGTGGTCGTGGACGTGGACGTGGACGTGGTCGTGGACGTGGACGTGGACGTGGACGTGGTCATGGACGTGGACGTGGTCGTGGACGTGGACGTGGACATGGAGGACGTGGACGTGGACGTGGACGTGGACGTGGTCGTGGACGTGGACGTGGTCGTGGACGTGGACGTGGACGTGGACGTGGAATTTGACGTGGACGTGGACGTGGACGTGGACCTGGACGTGGACGTGGACCTGGACGTGGACGTGGACGTGGACCTGGACTTGGACGTGGACGTGGATATGGACGTGGTCGTGGAGTGGACGTGGACGTGGACGTCGACGTGGACGTGGTCGTGGACGTCGATGTGGACGTGGTCGTCGACGTGGACGTGGACGTGGACGTTGACGTGGTCGTGGAAGTGGTCGTGCACGTGGACGTGGACGTGGACGTGGACGTGGTCGTGGACGTGGACTTGGTCGTGGACGTGGACGTGGACGTGGTCGTGGACGTGGACGTGGTCGTGGAGGACGTGGATGTGGACGTAAACGTGGACGTGGACGTGGTCGTGGACGTGGAGGACTTGGAGGTGGACGTGGGCGTGGACGTGGACGTGGTCGTGGACGTGGTCGTGGACGTGGACGTGGACGTGGACTTGGACGTGGACGTGGACGTGGACGTGGACGTGGACGTGGACGTGGACTTGGACGTGGACGTGGACGTGGACGTGGACGCGGACCTGGACGAGGACGTGGTCGTGGACATGGTCGTGGTCGTGGACGTGGAGGACGTGGTCGAGGACGTGGACGTGGATGAAGACGTGGACCTGGACGAGGACGTGGTCGTGGACGTGGATGTGGAGGTGGACGTGGACCTGGACGTGGACGTGGTCGTGGACGTGGACGCGGACCTGGACGTGGACGTGGTCGTGGACGTGGTCGTGGACGTGGACGTGGACGTGGTTGTGGACATAGACGTGGACGTGGACGTGGAGGATGTCGACGTGGAGGACGTGGACGTGGACGTGGAGGACGTGGACGTGGACATGGAGGACTTGGACGTGGACGTGGACGTGGACGTAGACATCGACGTGGACGTGGTCGTGGACATGGAGGACTTGGACGTGGACGTGGACGTGGACGTGGAGGATGTGGACGTGGAGGACGTGGAGGACGTGGACGTGGACGTGGAGGACATGGACGTGGACGTGGACGTGGACGTAGACGTAGACGTGGACGTGGTCGTGGACATGGAGGACTTGGACGTGGACGTGGACGTGGACGTGGACGTGGACGTGGAAGACGTGGACGTGGACGTGGACGTGGACGTGGTCGTGGACGTGGACGTGGACGTGGTCGTGGACGTGGACGTGGACTTGGACGTGGACGTGGACGTGGACGTGGACGTGGAGGACGTGGACGTGGACATGGACGTGGACGTGGACGTGGACGTGGACCTGGAGGTGGACGTGGACGTGGACCTGGAGGTGGTCGTAGACGTGGACCTGGACGTGGACGTCGACGTGGACCTGGACGTGGAGGTGGACGTGGACCTGGACGTGGACGTGGACGTGGATGTGGACGTGGTCGTGGAGTGGACGTGGTCGTGGACGTGGTCGTGGACGTGGACGTGGTCGTGGAGGACGTGGACGTGGACGTGGAGGACGTGGACGTGGACGAGGACGTGGACGTGGACGTGGACGTCGACGTGGACGTGGACGTGGACGTTGAATAGGACGTGGACGTGGACGTGGACCTGGGCGTGGACGTGGACGTGGACGTGGACCTGGACTTGGACGTGGACGTGGTCGTGGAGTGGACGTGGACGTTGACGTGGTCGTGGACGCGGTCGTGGTCGTGGACGTGGATGTGGTCGTGGACGTGGACGTTGACGTGGTCTTGGACGTGGACGTCGTCGTGGACGTTGACGTGGATGTGGACGTCGACGTCGTCGTGAACGTGGAGGACTTGGACGTGGACGTGGACGTGGTCTTGGACGTGGACGCGGACCTGGACGTGGACGTGGTCGTGGACGTGGTCGTGGTCGTGGACGTGGAGGACGTGGTCATGGACGTGGACGTGGACGTGGACGTGGACGTGGACGTGGTCGTGGTCGTGGACGTGGTCGTAGACGTGGACGTGGTCGTCCACGACGTGGACGTGAACGTGGACGTGGACATGGACGTGGTCGTGGACGTGGAGGACTTGGACGTGGACGTGGATGTGGACGTGGACCTGGACGTGGACGTGGACGTGGACGTGGTCCTGGAGGACGTGGACGTGGACGTGGACGTGGACGTGGTCTTGGACGTGGACGTGGACGTGGACGTGGTCGTGGACGTGGACGTGGACATGGTTGTGGACGTAGACGTGGACGTGGACGTGGACTTGGACGTGGACGTGGACGTGGACGTGGACGTGGTCGTGGACGTGGAGGACTTGGACGTGGACATGGACCTGGACGTGGACGTGGACGTGGACCTGGAGGTGGTCGTGGACGTGGACGTGGTCGTGGACGTGGACCTGGACGTGGACGTGGACGTGGACCTTGACGTGGACGTGGACGTGGACATGGACTTGGATGTGGACGTGGACGTGGTCGTGGAGTGGACGTGGTCGTGGATGTCGACATGGACGTGGACGTGGACGTGGTCGTGGACGTGGACGTGGACGTGGACGTTGACGTGGTCGTGGACGTGGTCGTGGTCATGGTCGTGGACGAGGTCGTGGACGTGGACGTGGACGTGGACGTGTTCGTGGACGTGGACGTCGTCGTGGACGTGGTCGTGGACGTGGACATGGACGTGGTCGTGGACGTGGACGTGGTAGTGGACGTGGACGTGGAGGACGTGGACGTGGAGGACGTGGACGTGGACGTGGAGGACGTGGACGTAGACGTGGACGTGGACGTAGACGTCGACGTGGACGTGGTCGTGGACATGGAGAACTTGGACGTGGACGTGGACGTGGACGTGGAGGACGTGGATGTGGAGGAGGTGGACGTGGACGTGGAGGACGTGGACGTGGACGTGGACGTAGACGTGCACGTGGACGTGGTCGTGGACATGGAGGACTTGGACGTGGACGTGGACGTGGACGTGGTCGTGGACGTGGACGTGGACGTGGAGGACGTGGACGTGGACGTGGACGTGGTCGTGGACATGGACGTGGATGTGGTCGTGGACGTGGACGTGGACGTGGACTTGGACGTGGACGTGGACGTGGACGTGGACGTGGTCGTGGACGTGGAGGACTTGGACGTGGACATGGACGTGGACTTGGACGTGGACCTGGAGGTGGTCGTGGACGTGGACGTGGTCGTGGACGTGGACGTGGACCTGGACGTGGACGTGGACGTGGACCTGGACGTGGACGTGGACGTGGTCCTGGACTTGGACGTGGACGTGGATGTGGACATGGTCGTGGAGTGGACGTGGTCGTGGACGTCGACGTGGACGTGGTCGTGGACGTGGACGTGGACGTTGACGTGGTCGTGGACGTGGTCGTGGTCATGGACGTGGACGTGGACGTTGACGTGGTCGTGGACGTGGTCGTGGTCATGGTCGTGGACGTGGTCGTGGACGTGGTCGTGGACGTCGACGTGGACGTGGACGTGGTCGTGGACGTGGACGTGGACGTGGACGTTGACGTGGTCGTGGACGTGGTCGTGGTCATGGTCGTGGACGTGGTCGTGGACGTGGACGTGGACGTGGTCGTGGACGTGGACGTGGACGTGGACGTCGTCGTGGACGTGGACGTAGTCGTGGACATGGACGTGGACGTGGACGTGGTCGTGGACGTGGTCGTGGACGTGGACGTGGACGTGGACGTGGTCGTGGACATGGACGTGGTCGTGGACGTGGACGTTGACGTGGTTGTGGACGTGGACGTGGTCGTGGAGGACGTGGACGTGGACGTAAACGTGGACGTGGACGTGGTCGTGGACGTGGAGGACTTGGAGGTGGACGTGGACGTGGACGTGGACGTGGTCATGGACGTGCACATGGACGTGGAGGACTTGGACGTGGACGTGGATGTGGACGTGGACCTGGACGTGGACGTGGACGTGGACGTGGTCGTGGACGTGGACGTGGTCATGGACGTGGACGTGGACGTGGTCGTGGACGTGGACCTGGACGTGGACTTGGACGTGGACGTGGATGTGGACGTGGACGTCATCGTGGACGTGGACGTGGACGTGGGCGTGGACGTGGACGTGGACTTGGACGTGGACGTGGACGTGGGCGTGGACTTGGACGTGGACGTGGACATGGACCTGGACGTGCACGTGGTCGTGGACGTGGACGCGGACCTAGACGTGGACGTGGTCGTGGACGTGGTCGTGGTCGTGGACGTGGACGTGGTCGTGGACGTGGACGTGGACGTGGACGTGGAGGTGGACGTGGACCTGGATGTGGACGTGGTCGTGGACGTGGACACGGACCTGGACGTGGACGTGGTCGTGGACGTGGTCGTGGTCGTGGACGTGGAGGACGTGGTCGTGGACGTGGACGTGGACGTGGACGTGGTCGTGGTCGTGGACGTGGTCGTAGACGTGGACGTGGTCGTCCACGACGTGGACGTGGACGTGGACGTGGACATGGACGTGGACGTGGATGTGGATGTGGACCTGGACGTGGACGTGGACGTGGTCGTGGACGTGGACGGGTCGTGGAGGACGTGGACGTGGACGTGGACGTGGACGTGGACGTGGACGTTGACGTGGACGTGGACGTGGACGTAGACGTGGACGTGGTCGTGGACATTGAGGACTTGGACGGGGACGTGGACGTGGACGTGGACGTGGTCGTGGACGTGGACCTAGACGTGGAGGACGTGGACGTGGACGTGGTCGTGGACGTGGACGTGGACATGGACGTGGACGTGGTCGTGGACGTGGTCATGGACGTGGACCTGGACGTGGACGTGGTGGAGGACGTGGAGGTGGACGTGGACGTGGACGTGGACGCGGACGTGGTCGTGGACGTGGACGCGGACGTGGTCGTGGACGTGGACGCGGACGTGGACCTGGACTTGGACGTGGACGTGGACGTGGTCGTGGACGTGGACGTGGTCATGGACGTGGTCGTGGACGTGGACGTGGACGTGGTCGTGGACGTGGACGTGGATTTTGACGTTGACGTGGACGTGGACGTGGTCGTGGACGTGGAGGACTTGGACTTGGACGTGGAGGACTTGGACGTGGACGTGGAGGACATGGACGTGGACGTGGTCGTGGACATGGTCATGGACGTGGACCTGGACGTGGACATGGACGTGGACGTGGACGTGGTGGAGGACGTGGACGTGGACGTGGAGGACTTCAACGTGGACGTGGACGTGGACGCGGACGTCCTAGTGGACGTGGACGCGGACGTGGCCCTGGACTTGGACGTGGACGTGGACGTGGTCGTGGACGTGGACGTGGACGTGATCGTGGACGTGGTCGTGGACGTGCACGTGATCGTCTACGACGTGGACTTGGACGTGGCATGGACATGGACGTGGTCGTGGACGTGGAGGACTTGGACGTGGACGTGGACGTGGACGTGGTCCTGGACGTGGACGTGGACGTGGACTTGGACGTGGACGTGGACGTGGTCGTGGAGGGTTTAGGGTTTAGGGTTTACGTCCCTAAACCCTAACCCTAAACCCTAAACCCTGGACGTCCATGCCCACGCCCACGCCCACGTCCACGCCCACGTCCACGTGCACCACCACGACCACGTCCACGCCCACGACCACGTCCACGACCACGTCCAGGACCACGTCCACATCCACGTCCACGACCACGTTCACGTCCACGTCCTCCACGTCCACGACCACGTCCACGTCGTCCACGTCCACGTCCATGACCACGTCCACGTCCACGTCCACGTCCACGTCCATGACCACGACTATGTCCACGTCCACGTATATGTCCTTGGTCCACGTCCACGACCCAACCACGTCCACGTCCAGGTCTATGACCACGTCCACGTCCAAGTCCAGGTCCACGATCACGACCACGTCCACGTCCACGATCACGACCACGTCCACGTCCACGTCCACGTCCACGACCACGTCCACGACCACGTCCACGACCACGTCCTCCACTACCACGACCACGACCACGTCCACGTCCACGTCCGCGTCCACGACCGCGTCCACGTCTGCGTCCACGTCTGCGACCGCGTCCGCGTCCGCGTCCGCATCCACGACCGCGTCCACGTCCACCCTCACGAACGCGTCCATGTCCGCCCCCGTCCGCGTCTACGTCCAAGACCGAGTCCGCGACCGCGTCCGCGACTGCACGACCACGTCCACGACCACGTCCACGACCACGCCCACATATACGTCGACGTCCACGACCACGTACGTCCACGTCCATGTACGTCCACATTCATGACCACGTCCACGACCACGTCCACGTCCACGACCACGTCCACGTCCACGTCCAGGTCCACGTCCACGTCCGAGTCCTCCACGTCCACGTCCACGTCCACGTCCAAGTCTTCCACCTCCACGACCACGTCCATGTCCACGTCCACGTCCACGTCCACTCCTCCACGTCCACGACCACGTCCACGTCCACGTCCACGACCACGTCCACGTCCACGTCCACGACCACGTCCACGTCGAGTCCTCCACGTCCGCGACCACGTCCACGTCGAGTCCTCCACGTCCGCGACCACGTCCACGTCCACGACCACGTCCACGTCCACGTCCACGACCACGTCCACGTCCACGACCACGTCCTCCACGTCCACGACCACAACCACGTCCACGTCCACGACCACGTCCACGTCCACGTCCACGACCATGACCACGACCACGTCCACGTCCACGACCACGACCACGTCCACGACCATGACCACGACCACGTCCACGACCACGTCAACGTCCACGTCCACGTCCACATCCACGACCACGTCCACGTCGACGTCCACGACCACGTCCACTCCACGACCACGTCCACATCCACGTCCACGTCCAAGTCCAGGTCCACGTCCACGTCCAGGTCGACGTCCACGTCTATGTCCACGTCCACGTCCACGTCCATGTCCACGTCCATGTCCACGTCCACGTCCATGTCCACGTCCACATTCACGTCCACGTCCATGTCCACGTCCAAGTCCTCCACGTCCACGTCCACGTCCATGTCCACGTCCACGTCCACGTCCACGTTCACGTCCACGTCCACGTCCACGTCCACGTCCATGTCCACGTCCACGTCCACGTCCATGTCCACGTCCATGTCCACGTCCACGTCCATGTCCACGTCCATGTCCAGGTCCACGTCCATGTCCACCTCCACGTCCACGTCCACGTCCAGGTCCACGTCCATGTCCACGTCCACGTCCAGGTCCACGTCCACGTCCATGTCCACGTCCATGTCCACGTCCACGTCCATGTCCATGTCCACGTCCACGTCCATGTCCATATCCACGTCCCTGTCCACGTCCACGTCGACGTCCACGTCCACGTCCACGACCATGTCCACGTCCACGTCCACGTTCACGTCCACGTCCACGTCAACGTCCACGTCCACGACCAGGTCCACGTCCACGTCCACGTCCACGTCCACGTCCACGACCACGTCCACGTCCACGTCCACGTCCACATCTCCGTCCACGTCCACATCCACGTCCACGTCCATGTCCACGTCCACGACCGTCCACGTCCACCTCCACGTTCACGACGACGTCCACGTCCACGTCCACGTCCACGACCACGACCACGTCCACGACCATGACCACGACCACGTCCACGACCACGTCAACGTCCACGTCCACGTCCACATCCACGACCACGTCCACGTCGACGTCCACGACCACGTCCACTCCACGACCACGTCCACATCCACGTCCACGTCCAAGTCCAGGTCCACGTCCACGTCCAGGTCGACGTCCACGTCCATGTCCACGTCCACGTCCACGTCCATGTCCACGTCCATGTCCACGTCCACGTCCATGTCCACGTCCACATTCACGTCCACGTCCATGTCCACGTCCAAGTCCTCCACGTCCACGTCCACGTCCATGTCCACGTCCACGTCCACGTCCACGTTCACGTCCACGTCCACGTCCACGTCCACGTCCATGTCCACGTCCACGTCCATGTCCACGTCCATGTCCACGTCCACGTCCATGTCCACGTCCATGTCCAGGTCCACGTCCATGTCCACCTCCACGTCCACGTCCACGTCCAGGTCCACGTCCATGTCCACGTCCACGTCCAGGTCCACGTCCACGTCCATGTCCACGTCCATGTCCACGTCCACGTCCATGTCCATGTCCACGTCCACGTCCATGTCCATATCCACGTCCCTGTCCACGTCCACGTCGACGTCCACGTCCACGTCCACGACCATGTCCACGTCCACGTCCACGTTCACGTCCACGTCCACGTCAACGTCCACGTCCACGACCAGGTCCACGTCCACGTCCACGTCCACGTCCACGTCCACGACCACGTCCACGTCCACGTCCACGTCCACATCTCCGTCCACGTCCACATCCACGTCCACGTCCATGTCCACGTCCACGACCGTCCACGTCCACGTCCACGTCCACGTCCATGTCCACGTCCACGTCTACCACGTCCATGTCCACGTCAACGTCCACGTCCACTTCCACGTCCACGTCAATGTCCACTTCCACGTCCACGTCCACGTCCACGTCCACGTCCACGTCCATGTCCACGTCCACATCCATGTCCACGTCCACGTCCACGTCCATGTCCACGTCCACGTCCACGACCACGTCCACGACCACGTCCACGTCCATGTCCACGTCCACGTCCACGTCCACGTCCACGTCCACGTCCACGTCCACGTCCAAGTCCACGTCCACGTCCACGTCCACGTCCACGTCCACGTCCACGTCCACGTCCACGTCCACGTCCACCTCCACGTCCACGTCCAAGTCCACGTCCACGTCCACGTCCACGTCCACGTCCACGTCCATGTCCACGTCCACGTCCACGTCCACGTCCATGTCCACGTCCATGTCCACGTCCATGTCCACCACGTCCACGTCCACGTCCACGTCCACGTCCATGTCCACGTCCACGTCCACGTCCACGTCCACGTCCACGTCCACGTCACGTCCACGTCCACGTCCACGACCACGTCCATGTCCACGTCCACGTCAACATCCACGTCCACATCCACGTCCACGTCCACGTCCACGTCCACGTCCAAGTCCCATCCACGTCCACGTCCACGTCCACGTCCACGTCCTCGACCACGTCCACGTCCACGTCCACGACCACGTCCACGTCCACGTCCAAGTCCTCCATGTCCACGACCACGTCCACGTCCACGTCCAGGTCCTCCACTTCCACGTCCACGTCCACGTCCACGTCCAAGTCCTCCATGTCCACGACCACGTCCACATCGACGTCTACATCCACGTCCACGTCTACGTCCACGTCCTCCACGTCCACGTCCACGTCCTCCACGTCCACGTCCTCCACGTCCACGTCCACGACCACGTCCACGTGCACGTCCACGACCACGTCCACTACCACGTCCACGTCCACGTCCACGACCACGTCCACAACGACGTCCATGTCCACGTCCACGTCCACGTCCACGAACACGTCCACGTCCACGTCCACGTCCACGACCTCGTCCACGACCATGACCACGACCACGTCCACGACCTTGTCAACGTCCACGTCCACGTCCACGTCGATGTCCACGACCACGTCCACTCCAAAACCACGTCCACATCCACGTCCATATCCAAGTCCATGTCCACGTCCACGTCCACGTCCACGTCCACGTCCACGTCCAGGTCCACGTCCACGACCACGTCCACGTCCACGACCACCTCCAGGTCCACGTCCACGTCCATGTCCACGTCCAAGTCCTCCACATCCACGACCACCTCCACGTGCACGTCCACGTCCAAGTCCACGTCCACGTCCACGTCCACGACCACGTCCACGTCCACGTCCACGACCACGTCCACGTCCACGTCCACGACCACGTCCACGTCCACGTCCACGTCCAGGTCACGTCCACATCCACGTCCACGTCCAAGTCCTCCACGTCCACGACCACGTCCATGTCCACGTCCACGTCCACGTCGTGGACGACCACGTCCACGTCTACGACCACGTCCACGACCACGACCACGTCCACCTCACACGTCCACGTCCACGTCCACGACCACGTCCTCCACGTCCACGACCACGACCACGTCCACGACCACGTCCACGTCCAGGTCCGCGTCCACGTCCACGACCACGTCCACGTCCACGTCCAAGTCCTCCACGTTCGCGACGACGTCCACGTCCACGTCCACGTCCACGACCACGTCCACGTCCAAGACCACGACCACGTCCACGACCACGACCACGACCACGTCCACGACCACGTCAACGTCCACTTCCACGACCACATCGACTCCACGACCACGTCCACGTCCAAGTCCAGGTCCACGTCCACGTCCACGTCCACGCCCAGGTCCACGTCCACGTCCACGTCCACGTCCTATTCGACGTCTACGTCCACGTCCGCGTCCTCGTCCATGTCCACGTCCACGTCCACGTCCTCCACGACCTCGTCCACGTCCACGACCACGTCCACGACCACGTCCACTCCACGACCACGTCCACATCCACGTCCACGTCCACGTCCAGGTCCACGTCCACGTCCACGTCCAGGTCCACATCGACGTCCACGTCCAGGTCCACGTCCACGTCCACCTCCAAGTCCACGTCCACGTCCATGTCCACGTCCATGTCCACGTCCACGTCCTCCACGTCCACGTCCACGTCCACGTCCACGTCCACGTCCAAGTCCACGTCCACGTCCACGACCACGTCCACGTCCACGACCACGTCCACGTCCACGTCCACGACCACGTCCACGTCCACGTCCACGTCCAAGTCCACGTCCAGGTCCTCCATGTCCACGTCCACGTCCACGTCGACGTCCACGTCCAAGTCCACGTCCAAGTCCTCACGTCCACGTCCACGTCCACGTCCACGTTCACGTCCACGTCCACGTCCACGTCCACGTCCACAACCACGTCCACGTCCACAACCACGTCCACCTTCACGTCCACGTCCACGACCACGTCCACGTCCACGACGACCTCCACGTCCACGTCCACGTCGACGTCCACGACCACGTCCACGTCCACGTCCACGTCGACGTCCACGACCACGTCCACGTCCACGTCCAGGTCCAGGTCCAGGTCCACGTCCAGGTCTAGGTCCACGTCCACGTCCAGGTCCAGGTCCACGTCCACGTCCACGTCCACGTCCACGTCCACGACCACGCCCACGTCCACGACCACGTCCACGACCACGACCACGACCACGTCCACGTCCACGTCCACGTCCACGTCCACAACCACGTCCACGTCCACAACAACGTCCACGTCCACGTCCACGTCCACGTCCAGGTCGACGTCCACGACCACGTCCACGTCGACGTCCAGGTCCAGGTCCACGTCCACGTCCACGTCCAGGTCCACGTCCACGTCCACGTCCAAGTCCAGGTCCACGTCCACGTCCAGGTCCACGTCCACGTCCACGTCCACGTCCACGTCCAGGTCCACGTCCACGTCCACGTCCACGTCCACGTCCACGTCCACGACCACGTCCACGTCCACGTCCCATCCACGACCACGTCCACGTCCACGTCCACGTCCACGTCCACGTCCACGTCCACGTCCACGACCACGTCCAGGTCCACGACCACGTCCACGTCCACGTCCACGTCCATGTCCACGTCCACGTCCACGACCAGGTCCACGTCCACGTCCACGTCCAAGTCCACGTCGTGGACGACCACGTCCACGTCTACGACCACGTCCACGACCAGGACCAAGTCCACGTCCATGTCCACGACCACGTCCACGTCCATGTCCACGACCACGTCCACGTCCAAGTCCTCCACGTCCACGTCCACGTCAACCTCCACGTCCACGACCACTCCACGTCCACGTCCACGTCCACGACCATGGCCACGTCCACGACCACGTCCACGTCCACGACCATGGCCACGTCCACGTCCACGTCCACGTCCACGTCCACGTCCACGTCCACGTCCAAGTCCAAGTCCTCCACGTCCACGTCCACGTCCACGTCCACGTCCACGTCCTCCACGTCCATGTCCACGTCCACGTCCACGTCCACGTCCATGTCCACGTCCACGTCCACGTCCATGTCCACGACCACGTCCATGTCCACGTCCACGACCACCACGACCACGTCCACGTCCACGTCCAGGTCCACGTCCACGTCCACGTCCACGTCCAGGTCCACGTCCACGTCCACGTCCACGTCCACGTCCACGTCCACGTCCACGTCCCTGTCCACGTCCACGTCCATGTCCACGTCCACGTCCACGTCCATGTCCACGTCCATGTCCCTGTCCACGTCCACGTCCACGTCCACGTCCATCTCCACGTCCACGTCATACCATCACCCCGTCCCATTCTCCTCTCTTTCCATCTCCCCGCCCCATTCTCCCGCTTTCCATCACCCCACCCCGTTCTCCCACTTTCCATCAACCCGCCACATTCTCCCCCTTTCCATCACCCCGCCCCATCTTCCCGCTTTCCATCACCCCGCCCCATCTTCCCGCTTTCCATCACCCCGCCTCATCCTCCCGCTTTCCATCACTCCGCCCCATTCTCTCGCTTTCCATCACCCCGCCCCATTCTGCCTCTTTCCATCACCCCGCCCCATTCGCCCCCTTTCCATCACCCAGCCCCCCTCTCCCGCTTTCTATCACCCCTCCCCATTCTCCTGCTTTCCATCACCTCGCCCCATTCTCCCGCTTTCCATCACCCCGCCCCATTCTCCCTCTTTCCTTCACCCCGCCACATTCTCCCTCCTTCCATCACCCCGCCCCATTGTCCCTCTTTCCATCACCTCGCCCCATTCTCCCTTTTTCCATCACCCCGCCCCATTCACCCCCTTTCCATCACCCCGCCCCATTCTCCCTTTTTCCATCACCCCGCCCTATTCTCCCTCTTTTTATCACCCCGCCCCATTCTCCTGCTTTCCATCACCCCACCCCATTCTCCCTATTTCCATCACCCCTCCCCATACTCCCGCTTTCCATCACCCCGCCCCATTCTCCCGCTTTCCATCACCCCGCCCCATTCTCCCGCTTTCCATCATCCCGCCCCATTCTCCCTCTTTCCATCACCCCGCCCCATTCGCCCTCCTTCCATCACCCCGCCCCATTCTCCTACTTTCCATCACCCCGCCCCATTCTCCCGCATTCCATCACCCCGGCCCATTCTCCCTCTTTCCATCACCCCGCCCCATTCTCCCTCTTTCCATCACCCTGCCCCATTCGCCCTCTTTCCATCACCCCGCCCCATTCTCCCTCTTTCCATCACCCTGCCCCATTCTCCCTCCTTTCATCACCCCGCCCCATTCTCCTGCTTTCCATCACCCAGCCCCATTCTCCCGCTTTCCATCACCCCGCCCCGTTCTCCCGCTTTCCTTCACCCTACTTCATTCTCCAGCTTTCCATCACCCCGCCCCATTCTCCCTCCTTCCATCACCCAGCCCCATTCTCCCTCTTTACATCACCCCGCCCCATTCTCCCTCATTCCATCACCCCGCCCCATTCTCCCTCTTTCCATCACCCAGCCCCATTCTCCCTCTTTACATCACCCCGCCCCATTCTCCCTCATTCCATCTCCTCGCCCCATTCTCCCTCTTTCCATCACCCAGCCCCATTCGCCCCCTTTCCATCACCCTACCCCATTCTCCCTCTTTCCAACACCCCGCCCCATTCTCCCTCTTTCTATCACCCCGCCCTGTTCTCCCTCTTTTCATCACCCCGCCCCAATCTCCCGCTTTCCATCACCCCACCCCAATCTCCCACTTTACATCACCCCGCCCCGTTCTCCCGCTACCATCACCCTGCCCTTTTCTCACGCATTCCATCACCCCGCCCCATTCTCCTGCTTTCCATCACCCCGGCCCATTCTCCCGCTTTCCATCACCCCGCCCCATCTTCCTGCTTTCCATCACCCCGCCCCATCTTCCCACTTTCCAACACCCCGCCCCATCCTCCTGCTTTCCATCACCCCGCCCCATTCTCCCGCTTTCAATCACCTCGCCCCATTTTCTGCTTTCCATCAACTCGCCCCATTCTCCCGCTTTCCATCACCCCGCCCCATTCTCCCGCTTTCCATCAACCCGCCCCATTCTCCCTCTTTCCTTCACCCCGCCCCATTCTCCCTCCTTCCATCAACCCGCCCCATTCTCCCTCTTTCCATCACCCTGCCCCGTTCTCCCTCCTTCCATCACCCCGCCCCATTCTCCCTCTTTCCATCACCCCGCCCCATTCGCCCCCTTTCCATCACCCCGCCCTTTTCTCCCTCATTTTATCACCCCGCCCCATTCTCCTGCTTTCCATCACATCACCCCATTCTCCCTCTTTCCATCACCCCTCCCGATTCTCCCTATTTCCATCAACCCGCCCCATTCTCCCGCTTTCCATCACCCCGCCTCATTCTCCCGCTTTCCATCACCCCGCCCAATTCTCCCGCTTTCGATCACCCCGCCCCATTTCCCGCTTTCCATCACCCCGCCCCATTCTCCCGCTTTCCATCACCCCGCCCCACTCTCCCGCTTTCCATCACCCCACCCCATCTTCCCGCTTTCCATCACCCCGCCCCATCTTCCCGCTTTCCATCACCCCGCCCCATCCTCCTGCTTTCCATCACCCCGCCCCATTCTCTGCTTTCCATCACCTCGCCCCATTCTCCCGCTTTCCATCACCCCGCCCCATTCTCCCGCTTTCCATCACCCCGCCCCATTCTCCCTCTTTCCTTCACCCCGCCCCATTCTCCCTCCTTCCATCACCCTGCCCCATTCTCCCTCATTCCATCACCCTGCCCCGTTCTCCCTCCTTCCATCACCCCGCCCCATTCTCCCTCTTTCCATCACCCCGCCCCATTCACCCCCTTTCCATCACGCCGCCCTTTTCTCCCTCTTTTTATCACCCCGCCCTATTCTCCTGCTTTCCATCACATCACCCCATTCTCCCTCTTTCCATCACCCCTCCCCATTCTCCCAATTTCCATCACCCCGCCCCATCTCCCGTATTCCATCGCCCCGCCTCATTCTCCCGCTTTCCATCAGCCCGCCCCATTCTCCCGCTTTCGATCACCCCGCCCCATTTCCCGCTTTCCATCACCCCGCCCCATTCTCCCGCTTTCCATCACCCCACCCCATTTTCCTGCTTTCCATCACCCCACCCCATTCTCCCACTTTCCTTCACCCCGCCCCATTCTCCCTCCTTCCATCACCCCGCCCCATTCTCCCTCTTTCCATCACCCCGCCCCATTCGCCCCCTTTCCATCACCCCGCCCCATTCTCCGTCTTTCCATCACCCCGCCCCATTCTCCCTCTTTTTATCACCCCGCCCTATTCTCCAACTTTCCATCACATCGCCCCATTCTCTCTCTTTCCATCACCCCGCCCCATTCTCCCTATTTCCATCACCCCGCCCCATCTCCCGCTTTCCATCACCCCGCCCCGTTCTCCCGCTTTCCATCACCCCACCCCATTCTCCCACTTTCCATCACCCCGCCCCTTTCTTTCGCTTTTCATCACCCCGCCCCATTCTCCCGCTTTCCATCAACCCGCCCCATTCTCCCGCTTTCCATCAACCCCCCCCATTCTCCCGCTTTCCATCAACCGGCTCATTCTCCCTCTTTCCATCACCCCTCCCCATTCGCCCTCTTTCCATCACCCCACCCCATTCGCCCTCTTTCCATCACCCCGCCCCATTCTCCCTCTTTCCATCACCTAGCCCCATTCTCCCTCTTTTCATCACCCCGCTCCATTCTCCCGCTTTCCATCACCCCACCACAATCTCCCGCTTTCCATCACCCCGGCCCATTCTCCCGCTTTCCATCACCCCACCCCATTCTCCCGCTTTCCATCACACCGCCCCATTCTCCCGCTTTCCATCACCCCGCCCCATTCTCCCTCTTTCCATCAACCCGCCCCATTCTCCCGCTTTCCATCACCCCGCCCCATTCTCCCGCTTTCCATCACCCCGCCCCATTCTCCCTCTTTCCATCACCCCGCCCCGTTCTCCCTCATTCCATCACCCCGCCCCATTCACCCTCTTTCCATCACCCCGCCCCATTCTCCCTCTCTTTCCATCACCCCGCCCCATTCTCCCTCTTTCCATCACCCCGACCCATTCGCCCCCTTTCCATCACCCCGCCCCATTCTCCCTCTTTCCATCACCCCGCCCTGTTCTCCCTCTTTTCATCACCCCGCCCCAATCTCCCGCTTTCCATCACCCTGCCCCAATCTCCCACTTTCCATCACCCCGCCCCGTTCTCCCGCTTTCCATCACCCCGCCCCATTCTCCCGCTTTCCATCACCCCACCCCATTCTCCTGCTTTCCATCACCCCGCCCCATTCTCCCTCTTTTCATCACCCCGCCCCATTCGCCCTCTTTCCATCACCTCGCCCCATTCTCCCTCTTTCCATCACCCTGCCCCATTCGCCCTCTTTCCATCACCCCGCCCCATTCTTCCTCTTTCCATCACCTTGCCCCATTCTCCCTCCTTTCATCACCCCGCCCCATTCTCCTGCTTTCCATCATCCCGCCCCGTTCTCCCGCTTTCCATCACCCTACTTCATTCTCCCGCTTTCCATCACCCCGCCCCATTCTCCCTCTTTCCATCACCCCACCCCATTCTCCCTCTCTTTTCATCACCCCGCCACATTCTTCCTCTTTCCATCACCTCGCCCCATTCGCCCCCTTTCCATCACCCCACCCCATTCTCCCTCTTTCTAACATCCCGCCCCATTCTCCCTCTTTCCATCACCCCGCCCTGTTCACCCTCTTTTCATCATCCCGCCCCAATATCCCACTTTCCATCACCCCGCCTTGTTCTCCCGCTTTCCATCATCCCGCCCCATTCTCCCTCTTTCCATCACCCCGCCCCACTCTCCCGCTTTCCATCCACCCGTCCCATTCTCCCGCTTTCCATCACCCCGCCCCATTCTCCCGCTTTCCATCACCCCGCCCCGTTCTCCCGCTTTCCATCACCCCGCCACATTCTCCCCCTTTCCATCACCCCGCCCCATTCTCTTGCTTTCCATCACCCCGCCCCATTCTCCGCTTTCCATCACCTCGCCCCATTCTCCCGCTTTCCATCACCCCGCCCCATTCTCCCTCTTTCCATCACCTGGCCCCGTTCTCCCTCCTTCCATCACCCCGCTCCATTCTCCCTCTTTCCATCACCCCGCCCCATTCGTCCCCTTTCCATCACCCCGCCCTATTCTCCCTCTTTTTATCACCCCGCCCCATTCTCCTGCTTTCCATCTCTCACCCCATTCTCCCTCTTTCCATTACCCCGCCCCATTCTCCCTATTTCCATCATCCCGCCCCATTCTCCCGCTTTCCATCACCCCGCCTCATTCTCCCGCTTTCCATCACCCCGCCCCATTCTCCCGCTTTCCATCACCCCGCCCCGTTTTCCCGCTTTCCATCACCCAGCCCCCCTCTCCCACTTTCCATCACCCTGCCCTATTCTCCCGCTTTCCATCACCCCGCCCCATTCTCCCGCTTTCCATCACCCCGCCCCATTCTCCCTCTTTCCTTCACCCCGCCACATTCTCCCTCCTTCCATCACCCCGCCCCATTCTCCCTCTTTCCATCACCCCGCCCCATTCGCCCCCTTTCCATCACCCCGCCCCATTCTCCTTATTTCAATCACCCCACCCTATTCTCCCTCTTTTTATCACCCCGCCCCATTCTCCTGCTTTCCATCACATCGCCCCATTTTCCGGCTTTCCATTACCCCGCCCCATTCTCCCGCTTTCCATCACCCCGCCCCATTCTCCTGCTTTCCATCACCCCGCCCCATTCTCCCGTTTTCCTTCACCCCGCCTCATTCTTCCTTCTTCCATCACCCCGCCCCATTCTCCCTCTTTCCATCACCCCGCCCCGTTCTCCCTCCTTCCATCATCCCGCCCCATTCTCCCTCTTTCCATCACCCCGCCACATTCGCCCTCTTTCCATCACCCCGCCCCATTCTCCCTCTTTCCATCACCCCGCCCTATTCTCCCTCTTTTCATCACCCCGCCCCTTTCTCTTGCTTTCCATCACCCCGCCCCATTCTCATGCTTTCCATCACCCCGCCCCATTCTCCCGCTTTCCATCACCCCACTTCATTCTCCCGCTTTCCATCACCCCGCCCCATTCTCCCTCCTTCCATCACCCCGCCCCATTCTCCCTCTTTCCATCACCCCGGCCCATTCACCCTCATTCCATCACCCCGCCCCATTCTCCCTCTTTCCATCACCTCGCCCCATTCTCCCTCTCTTTCCATCACCCCGCCCCATTCTCCCTCTTTCCATCACCCCGCCCCATTCGCCCCCTTTCCATCACCCCGCCCCATTCTCCCTATTTCCATCAGCCCGCCCTATTCTCCCTCTTTCCATCACCCCGCCCTGTTCTCCCTCTTTTCATCACCCCGCCCCAATCTCCCGCTTTCCATCAGCCCGCCCCAATCTCCCACTTTCCATCACCCCGCCCCGTTCTCCCGCTTTCCATCACCTCACCCCATACTCCTGCTTTCCATCACCTCGGCCCATTCTCCCGCTTTCCATCACCCCGCCCCATTCTCCCGCTTTCCATCACCCCGCCACCTTCTCCCCCTTTCCATCACCCCGCCCCATTCTCCCGCTTTCCATCACCCCGCCCCATCTTCCCGCTTTCCATCACCCCGCCCCATCTTCCTGCTTTCCATCACCCCGCCCCATCCTCCTGCTTTCCATCACCCCACCCCATTCTCCCCTTTTCTATCACCCCGCCCCATTCTCTGTTTTCCATCACCTCGCCCCATTCTCCCGCTTTCCATCACCCTGCCCCATTCTCCCGCTTTCCATCACCCTGCCCCATTCTCCCTTTTTCCTTCACCCCGCCCCATTCTCCCTCCTTTCATCACCCCGCCCCATTCTCCCTCTTTCCATCACCCTGCCCCATTCTCCATCCTTCCATCACCCCGCCCCATTCTCCCTCTTTCCATCACCCCGCCCCATTCGCCCCCTTTCCATCACCCCGCTCTATTCTCCCTCTTTTTATCACCCCGCCCCATTCTCCTGCTTTCCATCACATCACCCCATTCTCCCTCTTTCCATCACCCCTCCCCATTCTTCCTATTTCCATCACCCCGCCCCATTCTCCCGCTTTCCATCACCCCGCCTCATTCTTCCGCTTTCCATCACCCCGCCCCATTCTCCCGCTTTCGATCACCCCGCCCCATTTCCCGCTTTCCATCACCATGCCCCCCTCTCCCGCTTTCCATCACCCCGCCCCATTCTCCCGCTTTCCATCACCCCGCTCCATTCTCCCGCTTTCCATCACCCCACCCCATTCTCCCTCTTTCCCTCACCCCGCCCCATTCTCCCTCCTTCCATCACCCCGCCCCATTCTCCCTCTTTCCATCACCCCGCCCCATTCACCCCCTTTCCATCACCCCGCCCCATTCTCCCTCTTTCCATCACCCTGCCCTATTCTACCTCTCTTTAACACCCCGCCCCATCCTCCTGCTTTCCATCACATCGCCCCATTCTTTCTCTTTCCATCACCCCGCCCCATTCTCCCTGTTTCCATCACCCCGCCCCATCTCCCGCTTTCCATCACCCCGCCCCGTTCTCCCACTTTCTTTCACCCCGCCCCATTCTCCCGCTTTCCATCACCCCGCCCCATTCTCCCGCTTTCCATCACCCCGCCCCATTCTCCCTCTTTCCATCACCCCGCCCTATTCTCCCCCTGTCCATCACCCTGCCTCATTCTCCCGCTTTCCATCACCCCGCCCCATTTTCCCGCTTTCCATCAACCCGGCCCATTCTCCCTCTTTCCATCACCCCTCCCCATTCGCCCTCTTTCCATCACCCCACCCCATTCGCCCTCTTTCCATCACCCTGCCCCATTTTCCCTCTTTCCATCACCTCGCCCCATTCTCCCTCTTTTCATCACCCCGCCCCATTCTCCTGCTTTCCATCACCCCGCCCCAATCTCCCGCTTTCCATCACCCCGTCCCATTCTCCCGCTTTCCATCACCCCGCCCCATTCTCCCGCTTTCCATCACCCCGCCCCATTTTCCCGCTTTCCATCAACCCGGCCCATTCTCCCTCTTTCCATCACCCCGCCCCATTTTCCCTCTTTCCATCACCTCGCCCCATTCTCCCTCTTTTCATCACCCCGCCCCATTCTCCTGCTTTCCATCACCCCGCCCCAATCTCCTGCTTTCCATCACCCCGGCCCATTCTCCCGCTTTCTATCACCCCGCCCCATCTTCCTGCTTTCCATTACCCCGCCCCATCTTCCCACTTTCCAACACCCCGCCCCATCCTCCTGCTTTCCATCACCCCGCCCCATTCTCCCGCTTTCAATCACCTCGCCCCATTTTCTGCTTTCCATCACCTCGCCCCATTCTCCCGCTTTCCATCACCCCGCCCCATTCTCCCGCTTTCCATCAACCCGCCCCATTCTCCCTCTTTCCTTCACCCCGCCCCATTCTCCCTCCTTCCATCAACCCGCCCCATTCTCCCTCTTTCCATCACCCTGCCCCGTTCTCCCTCCTTCCATCACCCCGCCCCATTCTCCCTCTTTCCATCACCCCGCCCCATTCGCCCCCTTTCCATCACCCCGCCCTTTTCTCCCTCTTTTTATCACCCCGCCCCATTCTCCTGCTTTCCATCACATCACCCCATTCTCCCTCTTTCCATCACCCCTCCCGATTCTCCCTATTTCCATCAACCCGCCCCATTCTCCCGCTTTCCATCACCCCACCTCATTCTCCCGCTTTCCATTACCCCGCCCCATTCTCCCGCTTTCGATCACCCCGCCCCATTTCCCGCTTTCCATCACCCCGCCCCATTCTCCCGCTTTCCATCACCCCGCCCCACTCTCCTGCTTTCCATCACCCCACCCCATCTTCCCGCTTTCCATCACCCCGCCCCATCTTCCCGCTTTCCATCACCCCGCCCCATCCTCCTGCTTTCCATCACCCCGCCCCATTCTCTGCTTTCCATCACCTCGCCCCATTCTCCCGCTTTCCATCACCCCGCCCCATTCTCCCGCTTTCCATCACCCCGCCCCATTCTCCCTCTTTCCTTCACCCCGCCCCATTCTCCCTCCTTCCATCACCCTGCCCCATTCTCCCTCATTCCATCACCCTGCCCCGTTCTCCCTCCTTCCATCACCCCGCCCCATTCTCCCTCTTTCCATCACCCTGCCCCATTCACCCCGTTTCCATCACGCCGCCCTTTTCTCCCTCTTTTTATCACCCCGCCCTATTCTCCTGCTTTCCATCACATCACCCCATTCTCCCTCTTTCCATCACCCCTCCCCATTCTCCCAATTTCCATCACCCCGCCCCATCTCCCGTATTCCATCGCCCCGCCTCATTCTCCCGCTTTCCATCAGCCCGCCCCATTCTCCCGCTTTCGATCACCCCGCCCCATTTCCCGCTTTCCATCACCCCGCCCCATTCTCCCGCTTTCCATCACCCCACCCCATTTTCCTGCTTTCCATCACCCCACCCCATTCTCCCTCTTTCCTTCACCCCGCCCCATTCTCCCTCCTTCCATCACCCCGCCCCATTCTCCCTCTTTCCATCACCCCGCCCCATTCGCCCCCTTTCCATCACCCCGCCCCATTCTCCGTCTTTCCATCACCCCGCCCCATTCTCCCTCTTTTTATCACCCCGCCCTATTCTCCAACTTTCCATCACATCGCCCCATTCTCTCTCTTTCCATCACCCCGCCCCATTCTCCCTATTTCCATCACCCCGCCCCATCTCCCGCTTTCCATCACCCCGCCCCGTTCTCCCGCTTTCCATCACCCCACCCCATTCTCCCACTTTCCATCACCCCGCCCCTTTCTTTCGCTTTTCATCACCCCGCCCCATTCTCCCGCTTTCCATCAACCCGCCCCATTCTCCCGCTTTCCATCAACCCCCCCCATTCTCTCGCTTTCCATCAACCGGCTCATTCTCCCTCTTTCCATCAACCCTCCCCATTCGCCCTCTTTCCATCACCCCACCCCATTCGCCCTCTTTCCATCACCCCGCCCCATTCTCCCTCTTTCCATCACCTAGCCCCATTCTCCCTCTTTTCATCACCCCGCTCCATTCTCCCGCTTTCCATCACCCCACCACAATCTCCCGCTTTCCATCACCGCGGCCCATTCTCCCGCTTTCCATCACCCCACCCCATTCTCCCGCTTTCCATCACACCGCCCCATTCTCCCGCTTTCCATCACCCCGCCCCATTCTCCCTCTTTCCATCAACCCGCCCCATTCTCCCGCTTTCCATCACCCCGCCCCATTCTCCCGCTTTCCATCACCCCGCCCCATTCTCCCTCTTTCCATCACCCCGCCCCGTTCTCCCTCATTCCATCACCCCGCCCCATTCACCCTCTTTCCATCACCCCGCCCCATTCTCCCTCTCTTTCCATCACCCCGCCCCATTCTCCCTCTTTCCATCACCCTGCCCCATTCTCCCTCTTTCCATCACCCCGCCCTATTCTCCCTCTTTTCATCACCCCGGCCCATTCTCTTGCTTTCCATCACCCCGCCCCATTCTCCTGCTTTCCATCACCCCGCCCCATTCTCCCGCTTTCCATCACCCCACTTCATTCTCCCGCTTTCCATCACCCCGCCCCATTCTCCCTCCTTCCATCACCCCGCCCCATTCTCCCTCTTTCCATCACCCCGGCCCATTCACCCTCATTCCATCACCCCGCCCCATTCTCCCTCTTTCCATCACCTCGCCCCATTCTCCCTCTCTTTCCATCACCCCGCCCCATTCTCCCTCTTTCCATCACCCCGCCCCATTCGCCCCCTTTCCATCACCCCGCTCCATTCTCCCTATTTCCATCACCCCGCCCTATTCTCCCTCTTTCCATCACCCCGCCCTGTTCTCCCTCTTTTCATCACCCCGCCCCAATCTCCCGCTTTCCATCAGCCCGCCCCAATCTCCCACTTTCCATCACCCCGCCCCGTTCTCCCGCTTTCCATCACCTCACCCCATACTTCTGCTTTCCATCACCTCGGCCCATTCTCCCGCTTTCCATCACCCCGCCCCATTCTCCCGCTTTCCATCACCCCGCCACCTTCTCCCCCTTTCTATCACCCCGCCCCATTCTCCCGCTTTCCATCACCCCGCCCCATCTTCCCGCTTTCCATCACCCCGCCCCATCTTCCTGCTTTCCATCACCCCGCCCCATCCTCCTGCTTTCCATCACCCCACCCCATTCTCCCCTTTTCTATCACCCCGCCCCATTCTCTGTTTTCCATCACCTTGCCCCATTCTCCCGCTTTCCATCACCCTGCCCCATTCTCCCGCTTTCCATCACCCCGCCCCATTCTCCCTTTTTCCTTCACCCCGCCCCATTCTCCCTCCTTTCATCACCCCGCCCCATTCTCCCTCTTTCCATCACCCTGCCCCGTTCTCCCTCCTTCCATCACCCCGCCCCATTCTCCCTCTTTCCATCACCCCGCCCCATTCGCCCCCTTTCCATCACCCCGCTCTATTCTCCCTCTTTTTATCACCCCGCCCCATTCTCCTGCTTTCCATCACATCACCCCATTCTCCCTCTTTCCATCACCCCTCCCCATTCTTCCTATTTCCATCACCCCGCCCCATTCTCCCGCTTTCCATCACCCCGCCTCATTCTTCCGCTTTCCATCACCCCGCCCCATTCTCCCGCTTTCGATCACCCCGCCCCATTTCCCGCTTTCCATCACCATGCCCCCCTCTCCCGCTTTCCATCACCCCGCCCCATTCTCCCGCTTTCCATCACCCCGCTCCATTCTCCCGCTTTCCATCACCCCACCCCATTCTCCCTCTTTCCCTCACCCCGCCCCATTCTCCCTCCTTCCATCACCCCGCCCCATTCTCCCTCTTTCCATCACCCCGCCCCATTCACCCCCTTTCCATCACCCCGCCCCATTATCCCTCTTTCCATCACCCTGCCCTATTCTACCTCTCTTTAACACCCCGCCCCATCCTCCTGCTTTCCATCACATCGCCCCATTCTTTCTCTTTCCATCACCCCGCCCCATTCTCCCTGTTTCCATCACCCCGCCCCATCTCCCGCTTTCCATCACCCCGCCCCGTTCTCCCACTTTCTTTCACCCCGCCCCATTCTCCCGCTTTCCATCACCCCGCCCCATTCTCCCGCTTTCCATCACCCCGCCCCATTCTCCCTCTTTCCATCACCCCGCCCTATTCTCCCCCTGTCCATCACCCTGCCTCATTCTCCCGCTTTCCATCACCCCGCCCCATTTTCCCGCTTTCCATCAACCCGGCCCATTCTCCCTCTTTCCATCACCCCTCCCCATTCGCCCTCTTTCCATCACCCCACCCCATTCGCCCTCTTTCCATCACCCTGCCCCATTTTCCCTCTTTCCATCACCTCGCCCCATTCTCCCTCTTTTCATCACCCCGCCCCATTCTCCTGCTTTCCATCACCCCGCCCCAATCTCCCGCTTTCCATCACCCCGTCCCATTCTCCCGCTTTCCATCACCCCGCCCCATTCTCCCGCTTTCCATCACCCCGCCCCATTTTCCCGCTTTCCATCAACCCGGCCCATTCTCCCTCTTTCCATCACCCCTCCCCATTCGCCCTCTTTCCATCACCCCACCCCATTCGCCCTCTTTCCATCACCCTGCCCCATTTTCCCTCTTTCCATCACCTCGCCCCATTCTCCCTCTTTTCATCACCCCGCCCCATTCTCCCGCTTTCCATCACCCCACCCCATTCTCCCTCTTTCCATCACCCCGCCCCATTCTCCCGCTTTCCATCACCCCGTCCCATTCTCCCGCTTTCCATCACCCCGCCCCATTCTCCCGCTTTCCATCACCCCGCCCCATCCGCTTTCCATCACCCCGCCCCATTCTCCCGCTTTCCATCACCCCACCCCATTCTCCCTCTTTCCATCACCCCGCCCCATTCTCCCGCTTTCCATCACCCCGCCCCATTCTCCCTCTTTCCATCACCCGTCCCCATTCTCCCTCTTTCCATCACCCCGCCCCATTCACCCGCTTTCCATCACCCAGCCCCATTCTCCCGCTTTCCATCAGCCCGCCTCTTTCCCCCTTTTCCATCACCCCTTCCCATTCTCCCGCTTTCCATCACCCCGCCTGCTCGTGTTGGTGCTGTGGTGGCCCGCTGGCTTGTCGCTGCCGCTCCATATTGCACCAAGTTTAAGCACGCTTGCACTCAGATGCTCGTGTGTCAGATGCTCGTGTGTCAGATGCTCGTGTGTGGTTGTCTCGTTGTGCGCACTGCGAGTAATCGCCCCTCCCCTGTCGTCATCACCGCACGCCTTTCGTTTCTCCATGGACGAGAGAAGCAGATCATTCACCTTGCCGCAGTTCGCCCCATTTGCCCTCTCCCCATCTACCCTTCCCATCTCCTGTTCCTATTTCCCCTCCCCATCTTCCCTCCCCATCTCCCTCCCTATCTCTCGCAGTTTGTGCTCCTGCCTTGATGAGGACACCGCGGCTGACTAGGAGTGCTTGCCAGCATGGCGACACGCCACGTGTCAGGCACCGCATCAGTTAGGGGGGTTGGAAGGACGTGCCTGGAAAGGTGTTGCAGTGATTCCAGTTGCACTGATCAAGTTCCTTTCGGTCTGCAATGGATGGGCCATTGCTATAACTGTCTTTTGCCTAGTGAGTCATTGTGCTATGCAAGATGTGTTGTGATGTAGGGTCCCTTGAGACGTGAGGTGTCTGCATGGGGTGGGCTGTTGTGGTCCTTGGCGTCACAGCCCTACTCAGGTCAGATACGATGTGAGAGTGCAGTCAAACACACCTTCACCCGCGCAACCTCCAATCCGACCCACGCTGCACTGTGGTGGTGCAGATCCCGGGGTGGAGCGGCCTCGCCAACGCATGCGCCACCATCTTTGGGGACCACTACCCCCTGCCGCCCAGCCAGCAGGTATGTAGCCGCTCAACCCACTAGCATACTGTACATGTGTGCAGCAACGCGCAGATCCCGGGGTGGAGTGGCCTTGCCAACGCGCGTCCCACCATCTTTGGAGACCTCTATTCTTCCCGCCCAGCCAGCAGGTACGATTGCCACCCGTGCCGCCCAGACACCAGGTAGTGTGCCCAGTGATGAGCTTGGTCGTTACCGGCAACAAGAAGATACTATGTAGTCAATTGGTGGTACATACAGCGCATAGGGTAAAACGAGGCAGAACCGCACAAGAACAGCCTCCTTCCCTCCTCCGCCATCTTCACCCTCGGCAGGAGTGGGCGTGGGGCATCTCTGCGAAGTGGCACCAGCACGGGGCAGTGCAGCAGTGGGGAATTTTTTACGTCCACTTCTACCGCATGGGTACCATCTCAGAGCGAGAGGTGTCTGAGGGGAGAGGTGCATGGGGGTGGCCTTGGCACCCTTGTGTATGGCGAGATGGGTCGGGCAAACCACACAAGTGCCCCAGGTGCGTTTGGGTGGGGGGGAGGGTGCATGCGGTGGGGGGAAAAGGTACAGTGGGGGGAGCCCTGCCAGCCTGGTGTGCGGCTAGACGGGGTCGGGCAAGACCACACAACACAACTGCCCCAGGTGCGTGCGGGCGAGGCGGGTGGGGGAGGCAAAGCGTGGGGGCAAGCAGGGCGTGGCAAAACCTCCCTTCCCTTAGACCCCTGAACCCTCCCTCTTCCTAGTTTCTCTATGAGGCTGGGTACGGCTCTTCCCTCGCGGGGGGTTCTTGTGGGCAGGGAAGAGAGGGAATATTAGACCAAATCACCCCTTCCCCTCCCCCTCCCTTCCCCGTTTTTCCCGCCCATGTTTCCTGTATTTCTCAACAAGGCATGCTACAGCTTGTCCCTGGGGGCATGCCCGGGGGGCATGATCGCTGCGACTCAGTTGAGGAGAGAGGCAGTGCTGGCGACGGCCAAGCATGAGATTTGATACGGGCGACGGTGGTGGGCGGCGCTGTCCTGGAAATCACTTTTGAGAATTCTCAAAAGTGTTCTCTGCCGCCACGGGCGAGGGCGCTGTCGTCAGGTGAGGTGCACCAAGGTGGGGGCAGGGAGGGGAGGTCGGGGTGGAAAGGGGGGGGGGATGGGCAGGGGAGGGTGCAACGGGGCAGGGAGCACTTTTGAGGCGCCTCAGAAGGCCTTCCCTGTCCCCATCACCTCACAGATGCCACCAATCCTCCTCACTCCCACTGCACCACCCTTGCATGCTCCATGCAGCTCTTCCCTACCTCCGCGCTCCCACGCTCTCTGTCCCACCTCCATTGCTCCCACCTCCACCACCCACATCGACCTAGTTGCTGATGCCGTAGCTGCTCCACTCGCTCCCCTAACTGCGTTGCTGTCGGCCCAAACCCATCCGACCCGTTCGTTGCACTGCCTGCTCACCTGCCCCCACCTCCTCTCATACTCTCTTTGCAAAAACACGGACGAGGCGCGGGCGAGGGACGGACTGACAAGGCACCTCCTTGCTCGCCTCCTCCGTGCCGGCGGAGGAGCGCCTGTCTTTGGAGGCGCCTCAAAAGGCGGCGACGGTGCTGGCATACTCATGGCACTGCCCTCCTCCGCGTTGCATGAGGAACGAGCCGCCACCCGTGCTGCCCACCACGTGAGATGCACGAGGCTGAAGGGCGGAGTGGACAAAATGGCGGAGTTTGCAGCTTAGGCAGCACAAGCGGCACAGCAGGGGGCGATTTGCAGCTATTCGAATCCCATCATATTCGATTGGGGCCTATTTTCACTACCCAGCATCTCCGGCAAGCCAACCATGCTTATGCAGTTCATCTCACGTCTTTTGGCATGGAATTTATAACAATGACCTTGAAAAATTGCGCGCCTCAGTACTAGTGTCCCTTGAAGCTTGGATTGGTTGTGCCCAAACGTTGGATACTTGAGCACGTGTTGTTGGTGAGACGTAGATGCTCAACTCATGTTAGATGTGGGGAGGCCCCTATATTCGTTTTGGACCAGACTGATCCATCAGCCTTGGTACGGAAAAACACGCTAACAAAAAATAACAGATTACAGAAACAAATTGTAACGGTATCTAGATGACTGGTAGGATGATCTTGGCAACTTCTTCCTGTATGTGATGCAAGATTGCCTTCCGGTATCCTACATCCAAAGTTGTTGTTCAATAAACGGCTGAGCAGACTCATCTTGCTGCATCGGCTTATCTCATCATCGCTTCCAGTACAGAGTTCTCACTCTCGCTTACCGTACAAACAAATATGGCATAAAGAATGCATTCAGCTAAACACTTGTGTGAGTCTGTGTGCAGATGTCAAGCAGTTGAGGGGGGGTGTGCAGGCGGATTGCAAGACCCAACTGCTGCTGGTGGTAGCAGAGTGAGTGGCACACCTGCTGCGGCTGCCACTGCTGCTGCCGTTGCTGGTGCTGCTGTTGGCTCTGCTGGTGCTGCTGTTGGCTCTGCTGGTGCTACTGTTGGTGTTGGTGTTGCTGTTGTAAATACAGAAGTAGACGTGGCTGTCAGTAGATCTGCACTGTGGATGCCCGATTGATCCTGGAGAGGGTTACAAGCGCGTTCGCCTGGGGGGTTATGGGCGCACTAACCCGCTACTGAAATAAGCCTTTTTATCCCAATGGTCTAGTGGTTGGGATTCTGACATGGTATCAGAGCGGTCTCGGGTTCGATTCCCTGTGTATGCACATGTAGGCCGTTGCCGCTGTGCTTAGTCCTGGGCCTCCCAGTGTCGGGGGGTGTCAGTAGATCTGCACTGTGGATGCCCGATTGATCCTGGAGAGGGTTACAGGCGCGCTCGCCTGGGGGGTTATGGGCGCACTGACCCACTACTGAAATAAGCCCTTTTATCCCAATGGTCTAGTGGTTGGGATTCTGACATGTTATCAGAGTGACCAAGGTCTTGACCTGTGGCCCACCCTACAGCTTCCGCTGCTAATCTGTGTTTGGCACGCCCCGTGACGTGCCCCTTGCCCTACGGCCCCGTCGCCTACCTGCGACCCTACGGCCCCGTTGCCTACCTGCGGACCTACGGCCCCGTCGCCTACCTGCGGCCCCGGCCACATCACCTACCTGCGGCCTCTGGCCCATGTCGCCTACCTGCGGCCCCGGCCTCGTCGCCTACTTGCGGCCCCGGCCCCGTCGCCTACCTGCGGCCCCGTCGCCTAACTACGGCCCCGTCGCCTACCTGCGGCCCTACGGCCCCGTCTCCTACCTGCGGCCCTACGGCCCCATCGCCTACCTGCCTACCTGCGGCCCCGTCGCCTACCTGTGGCCCCGTCGCCTACCTACGGCCCCGTCGCCTACCTGCGGCCCCGGCTCCGTCTCCTACCCGCGGCCCTACGGCCCCGTCGCCTACCTGCCTACCTGCGGCCCCGTCGCCTACCTGCGGCCCCGTCGCCTACCTACGGCCCCGTCGCCTACCTGCGGCCACAGCCCCGTCACCTACCTGCGGCCTCTGGCCCCTGTCGCCTACCTGCGGCCCCGGCCTCGTCGCCTACCTACGGCCCCGTCGCCACCTGCGGCCCCGCCCACCCTTGCGGCCCCGTCGCCCACTTCGGCCCCGATGCCACCTACGGCCCCGCCCACTTGCGGCCCCGACCCCGCCCCGGCCATGCCCCGTCGCCAGTCGCGGCACACCGTGGGCACGTGCACCGCCCCCCCCCCCCCCCCCCTTTTCCCGTCACTTGTCGAGGCGACCTGAGGGGGCCGCGACCTGGAAGGGGGGGGCAGGTGCCGCCCCCTCTGCCGCCTGCTTTGGCGCCCGGGGAGGCCGTGCGTCGGCCCCCCCCCCCCCCTCCTCCTCCTTTTGTTCCCACTGCTGCAGCTACCGCTGGATGGGAGGGTGTGAGGGTGTGGGGGAGCCCGGGGAGTGGCACTGGGGTGGCGGGTGTGAGACCACCCAGCAGCCGTCCCTCCACCTCTCCTCTCTTCCCCCCCTCTGCTGCTCCTGCAGCAGTGTGTGGGGGAGGGGGAAGGGGAGGGGGAGGGGGAGGGTGAGGGGATGGAGTGGGAGACCAGCCAGCGCCAGCCCGCCTCCTCCTTTCGTTCCCACTACTGCAGCTGCCGCTGGGGGGGAGGGTGGGAGGGTGTGAGGGTGTGGGGGAGCCAGAGGAGTGGTATTATTGAAACACTTTTCTCCTCCTGCGCAATCGTGATGTACCCCTTCAGAGGGCGCTAACTGCATACTCATCTCCTACAGCCAGTTATGGGGGCGTGTCGGAAAATATAATTTAATATTTTCTATATGTAACTGCCTGTAGGATTGGTTACTGTAGTTATAGCGTTTTCCTATTTGGTGGTGCACCTTTCTTGCTTGTTCTCTCATATTTGTACCCTTGAACCTATAGTGAAACCCTCATTCTCTCGACACTTTTCCTTTAAATCGAACTCAACTTCTCCTACCTCACTAGCCATGGCTCCTAAGCCTTGCTAAGAATTTTGACAGTGGCTGCTAGCTACATGGCATGAAGGGTGAGGTGAGAAGGACAGGATTGAGGGGAGAAATAGTCGATGTTGTAGCCATGGTGCAGAGCATGGGAGGTGAGGAGAGGGACAAGGTCGAGGGGGAGGGGGAAGGGGAGGGGGAGGGGGAGGGTGAGGGGATGGAGTGGGAGACCAGCCAGCGCCAGCCCGCCTCCTCCTTTCGTTCCCACTACTGCAGCTGCCGCTGGGGGGGAGGGTGGGAGGGTGTGAGGGTGTGGGGGAGCCAGAGGAGTGGTATTATTGAAACACTTTTCTCCTCCTGCGCAATCGTGATGTACCCCTTCAGAGGGCGCTAACTGCATACTAATCTCCTACAGCCAGTTATGGGGGCGTGTCGGAAAATATAATTTAATCTTTTATATATGTAACTGCCTGTAGGATTGGTTACTGTAGTTATAGCGTTTTCCTATTTGGTGGTGCACCTTTCTTGCTTGTTCTCTCATATTTGTACCCTTGAACCTATAGTGAAACCCTCATTCTCTCGACACTTTTCCTTCAACTCGAACTCAACTTCTCCTACCTCACTAGCCATGGCTCCTAAGCCTTGCTAAGAATTTTGACAGTGGCTGCTAGCTACAGGGCATGAAGGGTGAGGTGAGAAGGACAGGATTGAGGGGAGAAATAGTCGATGTTGTAGCCATGGTGCAGAGCATGGGAGGTGAGGAGAGGGACAAGGTCGAGGGGGGTAGAGGTGTGAAACAGAAGGAACGGATAGAAGAGAATCAACTGAGGAATTCATTGGAGATTGGGCAGGAGGGGGGGAGGAACAAGAGCGAAGGAGGGGTGAAAAGGGAATCATTCACATGTGTGCGCCATTGAGTTGAATAGAATAAAGAAGTGCTTTATCAGTTTGCCACGGTGTTGTTCAGCTTGTGTTGCCTGCGGGTCTGACAGAAAGGCAAGTGAAGACACTGGTCGAGGTGAGTAGAGTGTGGCTTACACACACATACACACACACACACAGACGCACACACATACGCACACACACACACACAGCACATGACTTTTGGGTACGCGTGGGTACCATGCAGACGTGCATGCACACGCGCAAGGCGGCTACGCATAGGCAGCAGCGGCATTTGTGCACTCAACCCATGACCGTTGACTCACCGCGTGGATGTGGGACTGCAGCAGCAGTAGCTGGGCGCGAAGTTGCTCCTTCTCTTCCTTCAGCTGCACCACTTGTGCCTCCAGCTTCTGGTGATGGACGGGTGGAGCAGGGCAGCATGAGACATATGCAACAGCACCTCCGCCTCCAACTCCACGGCAGTACAAAGCACGGGGCCTTGCAAGGTACTTCTCACTGACACTTTGCCTTCTGCACTTTGCCTCATATTCCTCTCTTCTTCAAGCGTGGCCTCTGCGACATACGTAACACAGTATTATTACTAGTCGATGCGGAAAAATTATCAACTAGAGCTTTCAGGTGGATGCTTACCTGCGATTATTTTCAAAGAGTAAGACTTGACAGCAGCGTTGACGCATGCCTTCAAATGACGGATATAGTCCCTCTGAATTTCACATCGCTTCGCATTCTGCACGACATGAACATAGGTACATCTCTTTCACCAGGTGGCATGTAACGATCTCGAAAAGTGCCACTTATTGCATGGTTTTCAAGGGGAGGTTAAAAGACGTCACTTACATCAGCTGGCCTGTTTCCCAATCTCGGATAAGCCCGAGCTAGGATTTCCATATCGTTGTCGTAGTACCCCTTGAATGGGTCCTCTGCAATTGTTGAAGAGTCCAACGCGATTAGAAGTTCCTGCATGGACAGAATTCGTACTGAGTTAATTTTCATTCGGAAACTATAACAAAGAGGATAAATTATGGAAAGCTTAATGCTTATCAAAGCGTCAGCATCGCTGATAACATCCGAAACTTCCCTTTTCCTCACATTTTCGGCCATACCCTCCTCGCCAACGCTGTTGCTCGCGCCACCACACAGCAATGTACTGGTCGCAGCTACCGTACCTAACTCGATTTGTAGATCCCCGGAACCTGTGCTAGTTCGCGTTGGTAGGTGGATTTGGTATAACTACTCGCGAGACACCATGCCAACAGTTTGACGGGAACCTTAATAAAGATTTGGCCAGTCTGACGGGTGCTGGTTGATTTCAAGGTGACGGCGAATTTGGCCATGGATTCTACCTGAGCTAGGTGGCACAGTGGAGGGGATAAGCAGGTGGGTCGATGGA